CCCCCCCCCCCCCCCCCCCCCCAAAAAAAAAGGCTTGGGAATAGGACAACCGGGTAATTGATGGCTGTGTTGACGAAACCTGGATATAAAGTACTTAACTGCAAGGTATTAGGTTACGACAGTGATACAAAACATTGCTGGCACGGGGTCATCCCGATTATATTACCTGTGTCCAAGTTCATGAGCTGCTATATGTATGGAGAGTGCATTATAAGGCTCTTGGTTGACGGAGGCAGAATAGGACAGACACACCCGGCTTAGGTACGCTATACCTGCAATGAAGCCGTGCACCCTTATTAAGAGTATATATAATAGCGCTAGTGACATGGTGACACATGTACAAACAAAAATATGTTTTTGTGTTGCACGTCAAATGGCATATGATAGAAACATTATCATTGTTTGTGAGGACATGTCATACCTACCGAAGGACGTACATTGTATAATAAATGAATTAACATTGTTCATAAGTAAATACCATACCAACAAACTCATTCCCATGGAACAAGACATGAGTGGTCATGACCGTTACGTGAGAAACATGAGTGAGCTACAAATTTATCTGTGCAAAATGAGATGAAGACACCTGTAGAATTATGCGGCACTTGATAACGCCTTAAGTAAAATTATACTATTTTTTTTTTAATTTACTGTATGTAAAACATAAACAATCATTACGTCAAGGTCGAATATATGAGTGCGGTACTTCTTTCATCTACAAGATGGGGTTTTTGGTGAAAATATAATAAAATGCTATATTGAGTTGTTGTTTTATCTTCACTATTCGGCAGTAAACGGGCTTTTTTCATTTTGTGTCTATTAATTTATTTTTACGGGAGATGATAATTTATTTCATAAATATTCGCTCGGTTTTCAATTGCGAGCTATCATTGGCGACCGCAAACATAGCGAAATCGGTCCTCCGCCAATTTTACCAAGCTATACACTATTATACAGTTTATTACTATACCACAACACGAATCAAAACTTTTGAAATTCACACGCATCAAAATATTCTCATTAATCCGAAATTATCAAATTTATGCATTAATTATTTTATTAAATGTTATAAATTTAAAGCCAAAATTCAACACAAAAAAAACATTATGTACCTATGTACCATTGTAAGAATATGATGAGTCCCGAATGGATGAAATGTCCACACATATCATGAAATAGCTGAGTACATATCACTGATGAGTCCCGAATGGATCAAATGGCCATACATATCATGAAATGTTTGAGAACATATCACTGATGAGTCCCGAATGGATCAAATGGCCACACATATAAAAAAAATGGTTGTGTACATATCACTGATGAGTCCCGAATGGATGAAATGGCCACAAATATCATGAAATTGTTGAGTAAATATCACTGATGAGTCCCGAATGGATCAAATGGCCATACATATCATGAAATGTTTGAGAACATATCAATGACGAGTCCCGAATGGATCAAATGGCCACACATATTATGAAATGGTTGAGTAAACCTCTGTATAACTAACATACGGTTATCATTAAGTTATGCTTCAGATTAATTAATTTTCGACCATTTGTATACGCGATGTGACTGATAACAGATGTATACTATGTTTTTAGTGTTTTAGAGATATCAGAACTCGATATCGAACTCATTTCATGAATCGTTTTGAAAACATATATCGCCAATGTTTTGCATTCAGACATACTGTGACATGTGGAATGGCTCTTACCTATGGTGGATGTGTCTTTGTTAGAGAGAGCAAGATCATGTCTGTACAAAATAAAGGAATAACAAAATTAACGATTAGTATGCCAAATCTGATTGTTTACCAATCAAAATAAAAAAAACCAAATCTATCAATTAGTATATCATATGTGATTATTTACCATTTATAAATTGCATTTGATTTTTTTCCCCAAATGTACCTCATAAGAGGAATAAGAAATTATCAACTACATAAATAATCCGGATATCATTATCGCATTACAAAGAAACAATTGCATGCATATGTCTGTTAACTATATTCTGCATACGGTTATTTTCATTTTCTCACTTTATATCAAACAGTAGAGCGGAAAGACTATCATATCTGTACACATTTGCAGATTTATCTCAATATTACCATAGCTGTTCCATCACCTTACTCGTGCATTATGTTCTGATGATAGTAAAAGAAACATTTCTGGCTATTTTGTATGTTATTTGTTTGGGCAAGGTATTGATAAATATTTTAACACGCATCGTTTTGTGGCTTACAGACAGTCACTTACTCAGGTGATATATTACTCTTACTACGCACTATTTATGCGACCATATCTCGCGAACAGCATCTAAACACAAAATATGTTTCATGGCAAACAAAGATAAGCGTATAAAGAAAATTACCCAAGTTTACAGTATGTCGCAATATACTTAATCTCACAAAGAGTCGATTTGAAATCAAAAATAGCTAAAATAAGTTCCTAATTAGTCCCACTAATGTGAGACTGTTGAATTTGGGTATCAAAAATGGACAAGATGGGCGTGGAATTACGAGTGGTGACAGCCACGAGCTTATTCCTGCCCATCGAGTTCAGTTCAGATACCACAATTAAAACAAAGTTAATCACATTTACAAGTTTAAATTCTCGCGAATAAGACAATAAGTGTTTGCGACCGCCTGGAGGTCTTCACTATTGAACCCAAACTATGTTTTAATTACCCCGTAAACAAGGCTGCATGATCATGTGGAGGAAGTGACGCTGTCTGTGAGTTGATCCACTTGGCGAAATCCTCCAAACTTTTCCCGTCATACACTGCGTCGGCAGTGAGTTTGTTATTCTCAGTCCAAGGAGACTCAGATTTATCCTAAGGAAAAATTTAACAACAATTAATGCAATGGTAAAATATCTAAAAGTGCCCATCTTCCAAGCTGTGATAAAACGAACAGGTAATTGACGTCATGCAAGCATTGATATTAATAATGCATAGCCCATGCCGTACTTTCAAACAATCAGTGAAATATCATAATGTTATACATATTTGCATGATTAATGTCAATACACAATTAATAAATTATTAAATTATTAATCATTTTGTAGCATGGTCGATTAAGGTAATCATCTAATGTATAAGATGCATAGTTTGAGATGGTTTTGATACAAATGTACCTCTGTTTAATTCGAGGTCATATATCTACATAGTATAAATAGCTGGGATATTCAGAATTACGTTAACAAAACTTTTTGTAGTCATTGCATTTTGGTGATATCGACCCTAATAAGCTATCCTAGCGTATTTAAAGCTGAATATAACGCACAAAAGGGTTAATTTGTTTTATAGACATGCATAAATAGCATGCCAAAAATGGTATACGCTGTATCATACAGCTGTTTCGTCCTTCTAGAACTCATCGGTGATGCTAGGGGCCAAAACCAAAATGTTCTAAACTACTGTTGAAACAGCGGTACAGGTGCGTAAGACATTTAATCATGAATTCAAAAAATAGAGAAGTACTCGTTAATTCCAAATTTGATAATCCGTATAGTTATAAGAAATATCATGACATCATCAACAAACAAAAATAACAAATCGGACACAAGTTATTTTATGTATCAATAAAGTGTCGTTACATGTATATTACATCAAACGTATACTTACGGTTGCAATGACGAAGCCTGCCAAGGTCACTCGGAGGTCACCTTGTGATGTTTGGGCTGACTGGAACCTCACATCTATCTAAAATCACACAAGAAATGTTCAACCTTAATGCTTTTATGGACTTTATGAGTGAGTGGTCAGTAAATGATGTATTGAAAATACAACAAAAAATTCAAATCGAATATAATAATACCGTTAAAACCACTTCGTCATTTTAATATCTTTACTGTATGCCCGGAAACTTTCGGCAAGTAAAATATTCGCCCTTCATTTGTACATCCGTTACTTATACCGTCAATTCAAATTCATCAATTTAATATCTTTACTGAATACCCGGAAACTTTCGGCAAGTAAAATATTCGCCCTCCATTTGTAACATCCATATTCATCCATCGTTAATGTCGCCATTAAAGTGTTATAACTATATAGGGGTTGTTGCTTACTTAAATTCACTGTTTTGATAAATTCGCCCTCATTGCTAAGAGCGAAAAGGCGAAAACTTCCCGTGTATACATTCATACAGTAATATTGGCAAAGAAGTAATAACGACAGTGAAGACAAAGAAATGTGTCAAATTTTCAGGGCGACCTGCCCCTTTATCAAGACAGGAACATGAAAATGTGCATGTCACAACATAAAACAGAGAAAAACAGTCACCATGAAACAACTATACAATAAAAAATACATTAACAGAAGTTACTTTTAAAAACAATGGCTGTTGAAATTGCATATCCCTCGGTTAGCCTATAACCGAAGGCTAATTATAGTAAATAATTCATCTTGAATATGTGAGATCAAGTGAATTTTATACAGAAATATATTTATATTATGTAAAGCATTTGACTTCAATCTACCCTAGGTTAAAGAGACCCACTTATTGTCCATAATCTAGAGGTCTTGACAAATTATTTTCCTTTCAGTTTGTTATAAAATAAAAATAAATCTCCTCTGTATTCAATATAGGTTGTGGGTTGTTTTTGACAGTAAGAACATTTAGAAATTATTTCTTGTAATGTAGCAGAAGTATTAACATAGAACTAGTATAACCAACGGCGCAGTAGACATCAAGAGATCAAATCCCTTTTTGCAGAGGTGAATTCGTGAAGACAATAAATAAGAAATAAGGATATTTTATCATATTTCAATTCTTTGCTATAGTAAATAGCTAAATTTCTTAAAGTCATAAGAAAATCGAAAGAAATGGTAACTCTCTTTCATTGGAGATACAACACCGTGCGCAGGAACGCTCTACCTCATGTATGTAGTTCAAAAGACACATTTTTAACTAAAAAATGTTCAGAATTTTCAAAATGGCCAGGTATTATGTTCATCAAAAGTTGCGTTTGAGTGTTTTGTTTTTAGCAAGGATCCTGAAAAGTTTATAAGCGGATCCTTTCCTTGAGATGTTATCAGTGTTATCGTACATATGAATTTGAAACAAATTCCGTTTTTCTTTTAGAAATTACGTTTTACGTGCACTTGATGTTGATGAAATTCGGAATCATATGAATTAATATTAGATTTGTTAATATCAATGTGTAATGAAAGGGTACAATTTACTTTAAAACTATCCCTGTACGGTCTTCGTTACACTGCTGCGACTCAGGCACGACACTGTTGAAATATATTACCCAATTCATACCACAATGACATCGTTTTATGTTTTAAGTAGCTAGTTTCAAGTTTCATTGTTATGTATATTAAACATATTTCTGTATTTACTCTAATAAGGCCGGAATTCATGAAACCGTTCCCGTGCACGAACTTCAATTCTCTACTCCCGCCCATTTTCGTGTTCCGGTGAAAATAGAAAAGGACAAGTTGTTGATGATTTGAAAGAATTTGAAGCGACTTTAATACGAAAACCGTTATAAGTGTTGACACTCGTATTTTTTCACCGTGTCTAATGGTTTAGGCACCGAAAAGAAAGTTCGTTCGAACAAAGTATCCATGCTTGCGCAAGAGAACGGTTTCATGAATTTTTGCCAAGGTCATCTCATCAAAACTTTCTAATATACAAAATGCGTAAACATTTTCCAGGTAATAGTTATGGCGAATAATAGTTTATTAAAAAGTTTGCGCTTGATAGTATTAACATAAATATGAATGTCTCATATTACGTGATGATAAATATTCACAATGTCTCTTTAAAAGAGGCCGCCGTAGCCTAATGGTAAAGGCGTCTGACTGTCTACGATCACTAGTCTTTCAACACTGGATCGCGGGTTGGAAGCCTACGTAGGGCAGTCAACAGGCACTGTCCGCAGGTCGGTGGTTTTTCTCCGGTTAGTCCGATTTTCTTCCACCACCTAACCCTGACACGTCCTTAAATGAGCATAGCTGTTAATAGACCGTCAATCACAAACAAACCAATAAACCAACATTCTCGAAATACATACCCCATTGGTGACAAACAGGTAGTACTGGACCAGGGAGTTGACTGCGTTATTGTAGCGCTCGTCGTCTGTGTTACCTAAGGCAACCTGGTGCCATCTGGAATGCAATGTAATGGTGTATGTTTAATTGCAGGTGGCTGGTCATTAAGACCCCGCGTGCTAACATCCGGGCCAACAAGAGTGATCAATATAAGTTGAAATAAATTGTTTCATAATTGTTTATATCTATATTATATTTCATATAGTGTAGGTCGTCAACATCCAGTTAGATACTGCAAGTGTCTTTCTTTTTTTACTTCGAATAAGATAAAAGATCATGTAACGTTTTCCAATTTTCTGTTGGTGTATTTTCTTGGTATATGATGAGTAAAGGGTATACTGTCAATCCTGTTTTTATCAGTATGCTTCATACCAGCGATTAGTAAATATATAGAGAATAATACTTGCCTTTTTCCATATCACACCCAGTATTCGGCCCGAGGGCTGATATTGGTCGAGGGTTGATACTGGGTGTGATATGGAAAAAGGCATGTTTTGTTCTGTTTATTACATACTTACATAGAAGCTACTATCTTATTATCTATTATTTTTTGAAATATCGAAAAACGTAAAAAATCAAAACGGGGTGTGATACGTCCCGAATGGAGTCCCGAATATGATATTGATACGGGTTTTGGGGTGTGATACGGCGGGGCTGATACGGATTTTGGGGTGTGATACGGCGAGGGCTGATATGGGTTAGAGCAATTGTGTCGTATCGTATATACAAAAACCCCGTATATATTAATAAGTATATAATAAATCAAGATATACTCAACTCAACAATAGCAAATGTAGTAAAGCAGCGAAATAATGCCTAACATTTCATATACAACTTCATCTTACCACCAACTTTTCAACGTACTCTTATGCAGTTTTTCTTTTTAATTTCTGTTTATATACTCCTCGATGTATGTTAAACCCCTTTATATTTAAATACTTTCCGTGGACAGGTCAGCAGTGTTATAATGTGTTCTTTACTTATATATAGCTCTTGTTCTGAAACACCTGAATAAATCTTCGTAAAAAAACAGAAATTGCGATCTTTTGTCAATGTAAAATCAAAAATAAACATCTCACGGGAACATATATGTGCAACATAAACAAATGCGTTGATACCTACTTGTAGAAGTTGGCGTAGTCAAGCACGACCAGATATTCGACGTACTTCTGTGCAATCTTACGTCGATGTCGCTCAGAAGGTGTCCAGTCATCTGTAAGATCAGGATATAAGACCCACCTTTTTACGACTGCAGTTTAGGCTCTGTTTCGCTTACGTCATCTGCACGCAACCCTATATATCTGTATATCTTTATATCTATATGCCTTTGATGATAAATGTATATTTACCTGATGTAAAAGGCTGTTTTGTGTGCCTTTTTATTTACTATATTTGTAACTGTCACTGTATGAACACTAGTCTTCATGTGCTGAAAAGCGCCCTAGAGTAATTTTGCAAATTATATATGGCGCTATACGTATGTTATATATTATTATTATTTATGATTATCATTAAGAAAACAACATATTGTGGTGATATCATGCTCATAATAAATCATCTGACAACATGTACTTCAGTAACTATTTCAATATTAAATGATAATCGAAAAAATCTGTTTTAAACATCATTTTTCCGTAGATTAATGATCTTTGCACATATTGTAGATATAGGGTTCTGCTCTTACTTAAAGGAACGCCTTTGTCATCATTTGAAATGAAATACAAATTTATAAATGAGTTATCTGCTGTTTCCTAAACTTTTTAACGTGTAATGCCAAGGGATTATAGGTACATTTAACCAGTTTCTGTATTTTTTTTATGTTTTAGAATGCATTTTATATGTATTTTTATTCTTTCGACTTTTAGTAAGGTTAGGCTGATTAAGTTGATTTAAAACTTTATTTTCTTACTAGAACCTATGTTGACCATGACCATGTCATCTGGCATAATCATCATTTCAAGATGTGTAAATAACGTATGTTACATGTACAGTAGATAAATAAATAGACGGGCGACAATTTACCGCACGTGACTTTCACTTACCACTGTTGCGTTTATGTGACAAACACCTATCCGTATTCTAAAAGAGTAGGGAATGTAAGGTTACATAATTACAAAATCAATCCAAAGAGTTTAATTGGCACATTCATTATTTCACGAATTTCGCGAAAATAAAAATTGCTGAGAAATTAAATCTTTGTGAATTATATCATCATGAGAGAGCTTGGCAGACTTCGGCGTTGGGAGAGAATACGTAAGCCAGCTATAGTCCCTCACTGCAAGTTATCGTAAGAGACGACTCAAGTGCCCCCCTTTCCCAACAGAATTGAGGGTTGTCGCCTGTGCCTTTGATTAAGGGGACATTTTTAGCAACCAATATTGATCTCATGCCCCATTGCAATACTTTGGATCCCCAAAAAATGTATTAGCTTTCCTTTTTTCTTCTTTTTTTGTGTGTTTTTTTTTTTTGGAAAGAGCCTAGTAAGTTGTAAGAACGTGTGCCCAATCCCTTTTGACTATATAATGTCAATAATTTATGTTTTAATGATTGACTCGATCTATTCGATGGTGTCGCCCTAAGCACCCGTCTATATATGGCTAAATTCCCATAGCCGTTGCAAAGACCTTAAATCGCATACAGACAAACGGAATGCATCCAAAACGCAATTATTCTCGATTTGTTGCTATTATTGATTAATATTTCTTTGATCAGTAACTGGTGTCCAGACATACACTCACCCCATGTCGATTGTCTTTTATTTCGTTGATTTTGAAACTGAAAAAGCAAACATGGAATTATTAGATATAACTTCCGATCTTATACTAGAAATATAGTAGGGAGAATCAATCAGACCGAATACACAAACGTTGAAAACAATCGATTATATAGTACGACATCCACCTTAGAAGAAAGTTGTTGTATTACACCATAGCCTTATGTGTAGTATCAATGTTAAACGTTACACAGAAACAATGTGCTATTCAGCGTACATTGTTTATGTATAAAGTTAAAATTTGATATTACATATTTCCAAACTGATGAATCTTAAGCTTATTGAACCCTTATATGTTAAGTATGATAATTCTGAGAAGTTAATAGATTTGGAATGCAATTCTCGGTATGTTTTTTTTAGTTTTTGTTTTGCAATTATAGGGAACATTCAATCTGCCTTATTTATCCATCCTAGCTCGTTTAGCCTGCTTTACTCCATTGCATAATCGTAGGAGGAAACCCTGATAGGGCCCTGCAGATTAAGGGATCTCGTTCTTCTTGTCCCTCTGTTACTGTAGGTATGTACAAGCCCTGTGATTGGCAGGATTCAATTTGGGGTAAGGGTTTTGTATCTTCCTCTTATATACCGGGAAATTTTCGCCCTGTCAAACTTTTGCCCTTCGCCGAAGAAGTCAATTTCCGACCATAGTAAATTTCGCCCTTCACATTTGCTGACTATGTTTATAATTTTGTTTACTTGCATTTCCTGCAATGATACATTCGCCTTCATTACGGAGAACGAAAAAAGGCGAAATCAAACAGCAGCAAAAATGTCTCGGCATTCTGTATTAGGAACACTACAGACGCCTATTCCGTGTTTGCGTATTGCAGAGTTATCTTCTCTTGGGAGCAGGTATTGAATGTTACGTCACTTGTTTGTGAGAGTTATAACGTCATCAATTTTTGAGAAAACGACGTAATTTTCTCGCACAAACCAATGACGTAACAATCAATACCTGCTCTCAAGAGAAGATAACTATGCATTACGCAAAGACGGAATATCGATATGCATAAATTGGACCTCTTGGGTTATTATCTATTCCATGTTATTCATCCAATGTGTCTTCTGGATTAGGCTAATTTTCTTGGAAGTCCACAGGACTAGTTGAATAGAGTATTTGCTAGTCCTGCGTCAATGTCATTAGTCCTTACTGAAATCTACTAGTCCCGGAGGTAGTGTCGAACCCTTAGACAGGACAAACTACGTCAATGTCACTAGTCCTTACTGAAATCTACTAGTCTCGGACTAGTGGACTAGTGGTAGTGTCGAACCCTGTGACAGGACAAACTACGTCAATTTCACTAGACCTAACTGAAAGCTACTAGTCTCGGACTAGTCGACTAGTGGTAGTGTCGTAACCCTGTGACAGGACAAACTACGTCGATTTCACTAGCCCTTACTGAAAGCTACTAGTCTCGGACTAGTGGACTAGTGGTAGTGTCGAACCCTTAGACAGGACAAACTACGTCAATTTCACTAGTCCTTACTGAAAGCTACTAGTCTCGGACTAGTGGACTAGTGGTAGTGTCGTAACCCTGTGACAGGACAAACTACGTCGATTTCACTAGACCTAACTGAAAGCTACTAGTCTCGGACTAGTGGACTAGTGGTAGTGTCGTAACCCTGTGACAGGACAAACTACGTCGATTTCACTAGCCCTTACTGAAAGCTACTAGTCTCGGACTAGTGGACTAGGGGTAGTGTCGAACCCTGTGACAGGACAAACTACGTCAATTTCACTAGACCTAACTGAAAGCTACTAGTCTCGGACTAGTGGACTTGTGGTAGTGTCGAATCCTGTGACAGGACAAACTACGTCAATGTCACTAGTCCTTACTGAAAGCTACTAGTCTCGGACTAGTGGACTAGTGGTAGTGTCGAACCCTGTGACAGGACAAACTACGTCGATTTCACAAGTCCTTACTGAAAGCTACTAGTCTCGGACTTAGTGGACTAGTGGAAGGGTCGTAACCCTGTGACAGGACAAACTACGTCGATTTCAATAGCCCCTACTGAAAGCTACTAGTCTCGGACTAGTGGACTAGGGGTAGTGTCGAACCCTGTGACAGGACAAACTACGTCGATTTCACTAGACCTAACTGAAAGCTACTAGTCTCGGACTAGTCGATTAGTGCTAGTGTCGTAACCCTGTGACAGGACAAACTACGTCAATGTCACTAGCCCTTACTGAAATCTACTAGTCTCGGACTAGTGGACAAGTGGTAGTGTCGTAAACCTGTGACAGGACAAACTACGTCAATGTCATTAGTCCTTACTGAAATCTACTAGTCTCGCACTAGTGGACTAGTGGTAGTGTCGAACCCTGTGACAGGACAAACTACGTCAATGTAACTAGCCCTTACTGAAAGCTACTAGTCTCGGAGTAGTGGACTAGTGGTAGTGTCGAACCCTGTGACAAGACAAACTACGTCAATTTCACTCGTCCTTACTGAAAGCTACTAGTCTCGGACTAGTGGACTAGTGGTAGTGTCGAACCCTGTGACAGGACAAACAACGTCAATTTCACTAGTCCTTACTGAAAGCTACTAGTCTCGGACTTAGTGGACTAGTGGTAGTGTCGTAACCCTGTGACAGGACAAACTACGTCAATGTCACGAGTCCTTACTGAAAGCTATTAGTCTCGGACTAGTGGACTAGTGGTAGTGTCGTAACCCTATGACAGGACAAACTACGTCAATGTCACTAGTCCTAACTGAAAGCTACTAGTCCCGGACTAGTGGACTAGTGGTAGTGTTGAACCCTTAGACATGACAAACTACGTCAATGTCACTAGTCCTTACTGAAAGCTACTAGTCCCGGACTAGTGGACTAGTGGTAGTGTCGAACCCTTAGACATGACAAACTACGTCAATGTCACTAGTCCTTACTGAAAGCTACTAGTCTCGGACTAGTGGACTAGTGGTAGTGTCGTAACCCTATGACAGGACAAACTACGTCAATGTCACTAGTCCTAACTGAAATCTACTAGTCTAGGACTAGTGGTCTAGTGGTAGTGTCGAACCCTGTGACAGGACAAACTACGTCAATGTGACAGTATGAAATACGCGTGTTTCAACGACAGTCCAGTCAAACAGATATCAAGAGGTATCACAATCAAATTGATGTAACAGGTCAATTATAGCGAACTGAATAATTTTAAAGAATCACAAAATGTTCTCACTTTGCTCTGTTTCGTGATATTTTTTGCGTCTGTCGTTTTTACAAACTTCAATATCTCAACAAATGTTGTTTATATTGTATGCTATCAACAAAACAAAGATCCTCGAGTAGCAATATTGATAAAGTATTTACAGTGTATTGAATATTTGTATTTTAAGTACAAGTACGGATGTGTCCTCCGCCATATTGAACATTGAAATATGATTCTTGTGTAATGGATACGTTTAACCTATATGCTGTATTGTTTTGAAATTTAAAAAAAAAAAGGAAAATTGAAAAGGTATTGGCCTTACCGAATGCAGATCCACCATCGGTATGGAGTAGGGCTCCTCTCCCAGACGAAGGATTGGAAAGGGGTCAAGGGGATTATCGGTGGAGGTCATCTGGTCGTCTAATGGAGTATGACGTAGTGACAAAATACCATATATTGTAAATTATGTTTATTTAGAATTATTGCTGTACCTGCACAAAGCACAGATTATATGTGAGTGTGTGCTATGCTAACCTGCATTTTCAGTGCATGAATTAAAGTAATATAACGGCAAGCAATGACTGTTTTATAGGTCATGCGCAGACTAATAATGCGCAGGACGAATAACCATACGTATCTAATCAATTATTTCCTTTAGTGATTTGAACTTTGTTCGTGAATTATATCACTTATTCAACGGACAATAATTATTAAATATCCATGAGTAACCGCTTTTCATGTTATGCTTGATAAATTTATATATATATATGATTGGTTGAGATGCACAAATGACAATCGTGACATCATAATGAGAAATATGGAATTGACGTCATACCCTGTAAGGCAATGAATGTTTAAATGATTTACCAACTTATTTCACAATATTTGTGTTCGTTGTATTATATTGACATTAGTTATTCGAAATATGACAAAAAAACACCGATTAGATTAATTCTATGCTGTAATTAATAGCGAATATAAATTAAATAAAAACAAATATTGAATTAAAAGATTAAAAAATAAATAAAAAAAAAAATTAAGATCAACACAAATCAACGACACCACTTTTATGAAAATATGGAGTGAAGATGTTGTAGAGTTGTTTAATGACGGTTTAGTGAAAGATTGAATCGCTTATTTATTCATTATTTTTATCTATTTTTCTGTCTAGGATTTCATTTTATTTTTATTACCAATACATGTTTAAGCTGTAACTTTTAGACATCTTAATGCAATCTTATTACGAATGGGTCACATACAAAAATGGAAATTGGTGAGTTATCTATATCTGTATGATTTACATAAGATAAAAAGCATTAGCGCGTTACTCTCATATCTGGTCGTTGTGTCAAGACATCAATTTCTCCCACACTTCACATATGCATTCCTATTTTGCTTTAAAAAGGATAAACCTTTTCCCACATAACGTCATGCTATCACAATTGGTACAATTTTGACAGTTTTTTGGGATATTTAAAACATCTGGAATGTTTCCTGATTCTTGACGAAGTCTATCCATGGGAGATCATTTTCAGGAAAAGTTTGGATCCTAAATGCTTTGTTTTTAAAAATAGAACGCAAACTCGGACTGATATTTCATCGGTTTTTCGGATACGATTAGGATCCATATTGGTACACCATGTGACTATGAAACTTGTTTTTATTTCTACTAGCTGATGTGCCGATCGCAACAATGTATTTTGCATTTATGAATATCGTACTGAACTACAATTATATTTATATATATACAAACACATGTTCTGACATGCTTACATTGAAGTCGTCAAGTACTATCAAAATGTCGATAAATACAAAACTATTTGATGGGAATGCTGATATATATATATCTATTGTTATACCATCACAGGAACTTTTCTAACCAAAAGAACCTGACCAATCACTAGGCTGATACTTGTCATTTGAAGATTTACAAAGGAGCGACGCCAACTTCAAAGCCAGTGAGTTTTACCGTTACGTGACCGCGAGATTCTTTTGATGTACATCAAAAGATCAAGCTAGTTTTCCAAAAGGTGGCACACACTGAGCCTTCTATTTTGCTATGACATATTCCAGGGATGAATAAAGCGAAAACGAGCGTAACCCCTGGAGTATCGAGGGTGGCTTTCATGTAATCTGTCTTTCCTATCTACATTCTCTATCCAATGGTGTTTCCCTAGACACCTGTCCTCATATGACCCTAGCTGATGCAAGAACTTTAAACCCTCAAATAAAGAAACCTACCTAGAAAACACAGCTCACATGTTCTACTATTCTCAAAACGTCATCACCGCGTCATCATCGCGTCATCACTAAGTAGCGTAACGACGGTCGCTTCGTCTCGCATCTGATGCGCTCTTGATAATAACGCAGTGGAATGATTTCAAGACTGCAACTACTTTTATGGTAGGAAAGCGTAGGAGAAAAAATAAGCAATCACTCTGTAAGATTCAGACAGAGGACTCTTAACCCTCGGGATATGATTTTTGAAATTCAGCCCTCAGAAAAGCCTTCTGCTAATCTTTAACAATCTTACCCTCGGGTGAGATTTCTCTGTCTACGTTGTACAGAAGTGATTGATTCTATTAATTACAACTAAAACAACTGTTGAACAGACTTTTATCAGGCTTCTAAAGTTAAGGGGACGTAACCCATGATATCTGGTCAAAAAGCTAGATATGGTCCAATAGTATGTTTACCTTGTATCACGATGATGTCGTTGAAAAATGAACCAATCTGTATATCCGGGTTCAGCAAGGTGACTTTGTGGTCCGCCACCAATTGGTCGGCGTCTACCGATGGTGCCGTGGTTGCTTGTGTGGTCGGCATCGTTTCCACGGTGTGAAGCGGCACACTGGACCGTTTCCGGCGATCGAATAAAGTCAGTGGCTCAATAGCGTACCACTCGGACCCGTGTTGGTAACTGGCATGCTGAGAGAAATAAACTTGTCGTGAGATATCATTTCTTACACTTTTTTATTCAGGGAGTTCCATATCGTTCCCACGTGGTCATAAATGGTTATTTTCTCTCACAACTTCCGGTTTGGGAATGGAATCCCGACCGCCTGCGTGGAAAGGCCAGTTGCTTAACGCGACATGCTACAATATGATATTATGTACATCCTATGAAAAAGATTTCCAAACCAATTCATGTTATAAAACTTATTGTTTTGACCTCTGTCTTGACCTGATTCAATCCATTCCTATAGTGTGTACGTAATATACATGTATTGGTTAAACTAAACTTATTACTGATCATGAAAGTAATTGGAATATTAAAGTGAGTTAAATCCTGTACACTTTGAAACAGAGACAACATATTTCTCTATGGATGTAGCAGCTATTCCGTCTTTTCGTATTGCAGAGTTATCTGCTCTTGATTGTTACGTCATTAGTTTGTGTGAGAAAATTACGTCGTTTTCTCAAAATATTATGACGTTACTCTCACAAACAAATGACGTAACAATCAATACCTGCTCACAAGAGCAAATAACTCTGCAAAACGAAAAGACTGAATATTTATTGGCTTTGGTTTCAAGTTATCCTAACCAAATTATTCGTTAACGACGAGTTACGCAGTAAACGACGGGTTCAAAACGAAGCTGATTTCAGTGATATTTATTTTTAAATATATTAATTAATAATCAGTTTAAATATATTTATTGTTTAATTGCCCCGCTCCACTCTGGATTTTCGTATATACAATAACCTCCCCTTAATTTTGTTGTGATATATAGTTATGATATAATGGTAGCACAGTTGTGCCAGTGCTTTTCCCTTGACAAGGTAGCTCAATCGATTGGAACGATATGGTTACAACCTTAACTTCAGGGTTCGAATCCTGGTCTATCCCCGCTTAACTTTTTACACTCAGAACTATTGTTGATAGTATTTTGTTTATTTCATCTTTATAATTTTTCATAAAAGTACCGCAATGAATAGTTTACTTTTCAGATGTGATTTATCAAATATACAGTCATGCTTCCTTTTTATTTTTATTTTTTGCAGTGGTGTTGGGATCATTGAAGTAACGTGCGGCAAACATGGTGGTTGTTTGACACCTGGGTCACAGCGTCTTGGTTATACTTAACAAACATCATGGTGGCTGTTTGACACCTGGGTCACAGCGTCTTGGTTATACTTAACAAACATCATGGTGGCTGTTTGACACCTGGGTCACAGCGTCTTGGTTATACTTAACAAACATCATGGTGGCTGTTTGACACCTGGGTCACAGCGTCTTGGTTATACTTAACAAACATCATGGTGGCTGTTTGACACCTGGGTCACAGCGTCTTGGTTATACTTAACAAACATCATGGTGGCTGTTTGACACCTGGGTCACAGCGTCTTGGTTATACTTAACAAACATCATGGTGGCTGTTTGACACCTGGGTCACAGCGTCTTGGTTATACTTAACAAACATCATGTTGGCTGTTTGACACCTGGGTCACAGCATCTTGGTTATACTTAACAAACATCATGGTGGTAATTTGACACCTGGGTCACAGCGTCTTGGTTATACTTAACAAACATCATGTTGGCTGTTTGACACCTGGGTCACAGCGTCTTGGTTATACTTAACAAACATCATGGTGGCTGTTTGACACCTGGGTCACAGCGTCTTGGTTATACTTAACAAACATCATGGTGGCTGTTTGACACCTGGGTCACAGCGTCTTGGTTATACTTAACAAACATCATGGTGGCTGTTTGACACCTGGGTCACAGCGTCTTGGTTATACTTAACAAACATCATGGTGGCTGTTTGACACCTGGGTCACAGCGTCTTGGTTATACTTAACAAACATCATGGTGGCTGTTTGACACCTGGGTCACAGCGTCTTGGTTATACTTAACAAACATCATGGTGGCTGTTTGACACCTGGGTCACAGCGTCTTGGTTATACTTAACAAACATCATGGTGGCTGTTTGACACCTGGGTCACAGCGTCTTGGTTATACTTAACAAACATCATGGTGGCTGTTTGACACCTGGGTCACAGCGTCTTGGTTATACTTAACAAACATCATGGTGGCTGTTTGACACCTGGGTCACAGCGTCTTGGTTATACTTAACAAACATCATGGTGGCTGTTTGACACCTGGGTCACAGCGTCTTGGTTATACTTAACAAACATCATGGTGGCTGTTTGACACCTGGGTCACAGCGTCTTGGTTATACTTAACAAACATCATGGTGGCTGTTTGACACCTGGGTCACAGCGTCTTGGTTATACTTAACAAACATCATGGTGGCTGTTTGACACCTGGGTCACAGCGTCTTGGTTATACTTAACAAACATCATGGTGGCTGTTTGACACCTGGGTCACAGCGTCTTGGTTATACTTAACAAACATCATGGTGGCTGTTTGACACCTGGGTCACAGCGTCTTGGTTATACTTAACAAACATCATGGTGGCTGTTTGACACCTGGGTCACAGCGTCTTGGTTATACTTAACAAACATCATGGTGGCTGTTTGACACCTGGGTCACAGCGTCTTGGTTATACTTAACAAACATCATGGTGGCTGTTTGACACCTGGGTCACAGCGTCTTGGTTATACTTAACAAACATCATGGTGGCTGTTTGACACCTGGGTCACAGCGTCTTGGTTATACTTAACAAACATCATGGTGGCTGTTTGACACCTGGGTCACAGCGTCTTGGTTATACTTAACAAACATCATGGTGGCTGTTTGACACCTGGGTCACAGCGTCTTGGTTATACTTAACAAACATCATGGTGGCTGTTTGACACCTGGGTCACAGCGTCTTGGTTATACTTAACAAACATCATGGTGGCTGTTTGACACCTGGGTCACAGCGTCTTGGTTATACTTAACAAACATCATGGTGGCTGTTTGACACCTGGGTCACAGCGTCTTGGTTATACTTAACAAACATCATGGTGGCTGTTTGACACCTGGGTCACAGCGTCTTGGTTATACTTAACAAACATCATGGTGGCTGTTTGACACCTGGGTCACAGCGTCTTGGTTATACTTAACAAACATCATGGTGGCTGTTTGACACCTGGGTCACAGCGTCTTGGTTATACTTAACAAGCATCATGGTGGCTGTTTGACACCTGGGTCACAGCGTCTTGGTTATACTTAACAAACGTCATGGTGGCTGTTTGGCACCTGGGTCACAGCGTCTAGGTTATACTTAACAAACATCATGGTGGTTGTTTGACACCTGGGTCACAGCATCTTTGTTATACTTAACAAACGTCATGGTGGCTTTTTGACACCTGGGTCACAGCGTCTTGTTTATACTTAACAAACATCATGGTGGCTGTTTGACACCTGGTTCACAGCGTCTTGGTTATACTTAACAAGCATCATGGTGGCTGTTTGACACCTGGGTCAACGCGTCTAGGTTATACTTAACAAACATCATGTTGACTGTTTGACACCTGGGTCACAGCGTCTTGTTTATACTTAACAAACATCATGTTTGCTGTTTGACACCTGGGTCACAGTGTCTTGGTTATACTTAACAAACGTCATGGTGGCTGTTTGACACCTGGTTCACAGCGTCTTGGTTATACTTAACAAACATCATGGAGGTTGTTTGACACCTGGGTCACAGCGACTTGGTTATACTTAACAAACATCATGTTGGCTGTCTGACACCTGGGTCACAGCATCTTGGTTATACTTAACAAACGTTATGGTGGCTGTTTGACACCTGGGTCACAACGTCTTGGTTATACTTAACAAACTTCATTGTGGCTGTTTGGCACCTGGGTCACAGCTTCTAGGTTATACTTAACAAACATCATGGAGGATGTTTGACACCTGGGTCACAGCGACAAGGTTATACTTAACAAACATCATGGAGGCTGTTTGACACCTGGGTCACAGTGTCTTGGTTATACTTAACAAACGTCATGGTGGCTGTTAGACACCTGGGTCACAGCGTCTTGTTTATACTTAACAAACATCATGTTGGCTGTTTGACCCCTGGGTCACAGCGTCTTGGTTATACTTAACAAACATCATGTAGGCTGTTTGACACCTGGGTCACAGCGTCTAGGTTATACTTAACAACATACGCTAATAAATCGACTCACCAGTTCAAATTTACTGATATCGTCAAAAGGGAATCGAAGCAAAGCCGAGGCACCCATTCCTAATCCCTGGTACAGTGCGAAGTTTCTCTGTATGGGAAAAAACACGATATCAACACACATAATTTTAAAAACCCTATTATCTATCTTACTATCAAGATATAATGAGAGAGAAACGCAGTTATGTTTAAAAACGGTTACTATTTTTGCTTAAATGTGTGCCAAAGGAACGTTATATGTAAAGGATTTTATCCTTTTGATGATAAAAACAGATATTAAAAACGCATAAAATGTTTAATTATTATTTGTATATCCCCCCAGGATGTATACTTGTTCCCGAGATAAATATCAACTGTCGACTTTTCATTACTGATTATTCAAATTTGAATTACTTAACGAGTCAAAAACGATAACTTCAAAAATGTTATCTTTCAGAAATATCTGGAAAAATAAGCCTTTTTATATTTTATTTTAATTATGGCCCCAGGCGATCATCTCGAATCCTATGATGTGTATATTTTTTTCAATTCAAGATTTTTGTTAATACACAGGGCAATTGCTTTGTAAATCATATAATGTTGCTGGTTAAATCTTTCCGGATTCACTCGGTTACCTAGTTTGCTGTAAATCTGAACAGACTTGGCTCAAGATAAAAGATTAATGATTTTTTCCCCCTGTGTTTCGCTTGAAATATAAACATCAAACAAACATCACTTGGTCATTTGATAGCGAAATATGTTTACGTTGCTTCGGGATTGATACTCTTTGCAAAATAGCAGCCACATATAATGTGTATTGTATTTATTTGCTCTGAGAACTATAAAAGCAGGACAGGATCACCTGTATGTCCGGTTTTGTGTCATAAATCGGCCGGAGTTTGTCCACCCTCATTATCGGTGGCACGCTCGCCATCGTATTCTTTTCAAGGTCCATGATGACGTCAGTATTGTTGACCCGGAACCGGAAGGACAGTGTCTCTGGGAACATGTCCGATGACCGTTTGTGCTTGGAATGTTTATCATGGTCAGTCTTCGGAAATATCAACTTTATTTTTACTATTTCTGTAAACGAAAAAAAAAAAAAGACAAAAGAAAGAATTTGTTAAAATTACCAAGTTTTATGTCGTATTTTTAAAAATCGCAAAAATACTTGCGGTTGTTCTTGTCCAATACGACCGGTAATGTTTGGGTTTCGAATGGAGTTCTATGATATAATCATACATATATTTACATTTATCATGTATTTCCTGTAAAATGAAATAAACTTTATATTTTTATTTAATTTAGTAAAATGAAACAGTCGGGGTTTAAGTCTACCCGAAATGTACAAATGAATAAAACTAAACTAACAATCAAACAAACAAACAAACAAACAAAATACACCAGCTTTCGGCAGTTAAACAAGAAAATCAGTGCATTTTCGATATTTTCAAAGCGTTATGAAAACATCAGATCTTGTATTTGGTGATTGACAGCGATTACAACATCCTTGTATTGGTAAGCAATTTATTGCTATTTGATGTAGGCTTCGTCTCGGTTAATATCACTTTCTCGGGTTCATGTAACCACATATGCACCTCAACAGCAGTCCATAATTGATCAATGTACACGTTCATACCGAAAAAAAACCCCCATTGAAAATATATCGTTTATCTAATTATAGTTTTAGGAAAAGGACAAATGCATGGTTTATGCTCTTAAGTTATGCTGCTGACGTTACATGTAATGGTCTACTGTAGCTTTTTGAATATAAAATAATTAAATTGTCTTAGGAAGTCCCTCCCTTTACTGATCGTCTACCTGACACATTACGCTATACAGTCAGGAGACAAACGATCATCAGATAGACTTATGATGGGAGACGCCCACGGGAACACATGTGCTATATAGGACTTCAGCGATACCGTGCGTCGTTAATACATTCCATATGAGGTCACATTGACACATTACCAACATATTATCTCCTAGTTAACTTTTAAATAACTATTTAACCACATACACTACCATACGCCCTACAAATGTGATCTGTATTAGGGTAAAGGCTATATGCTACCTTACACATTTTATCCGTGATTTGCATTCGAGATAAGTCAATATGCTACTTTATATTCTACATCTGTGTTTTGTGTAAGGATTCAGTCTATATGCTGCCTTGAACTTCATATATATAATGTGTATGTGGCTTATAGCAGAGTTAGGGTAATACTGTATCTGTGACTTTTGCTAGAGTTAAGGTTATATGTTACCTTACACAGTATACATGTATCTACCTTATCCAGTATACATACAATGTATGTGACTTATACAATTTATATTAGAGTTAAGGCTATATGTTACCTTACACAGTATATCTACCTTATACAGTTTACATACAATGTATGTGACTTATACAAATTATATTAGAGTTAAGGTTATATGTTACCTTACACAGTATATCTACCTTATACAATATACATACAATATATGTCACTTATACAATTTGTATTAGAGTTAAGGCTATATGTTACCTTCCACAGTATATCTACCTTATACAGTATACATACAATGTATGTGACTTACACAATTTGAATTAGAGTTAAGGTTATATGTTACCTTACACAGTATATCTACCTTATACAGTAAACATACATTGTATGTGACTTATACAATTTATATTAGAGTTAAGGTTATATGCTACCTTACACAGTATATCTACCTTATCCAGTATACATACAATGTATCTGTGACTTATACAATTTATATTAGAGTTAAGGTTATATGCTACCTTACACAGTATATATACCTTATCAAGTATACATAAAATGTATGTGACCTATACAATTTATATTAGAGTTAAGGTTATATGCTACCTTACACAGTATATATCCCTTATCCAGTATACATACAATGTATGTGACTTACACAGTTTGTATTAGAGTTAAGGCTATATGTTACATTACACAGTATATCTACCTTATACAGTATACATACAATGTATGTGACTTACACAATTTATATTAGAGTTAAGGCTATATGTTACCTTAAACAGTATATCTACCTTATACAATATACATACAATATATGTGACTTATACAATTTGTATTAGAGATACATACAATGTATGTGACTTACACAATTTGGATTAGAGTTAAGGCTATATGTTACCTTACACTGTATATCGACCTTATACAGTATACATACAATGTATGTGACTTACACAATCTGTATTAGAGTTAAGGCTATATGTTACCTTACACTGTATATCGACCTTATACAGTATACATACAATGTATGTGACTTGCACAATTTGTATTAGAGTTAAGGCTATATGTGACCTTACACAGTATATCTACCTTATACAGAATACATACAATGTATGTGACTTATACAATTTATATTGGAGTTAAGGCTATATGTTACCTTACACTGTATATCGACCTTATACAGTATACATACAATGTATGTGACTTACCCAATTTGTATTAGAGTTAAGGCTATATGTGACCTTACACAGTATATCTACCTTATACAGAATACATACAATGTATGTGACTTATACAATTTATATTGGAGTTAAGGCTATATGTTACCTTACACTGTATATCTACCTTATACAGTATACATACAACGTATGTGACTTACACAATTTGTATTAGAGTTAAGGCCATATGTTACCTTACACAGTATATCTACCTTATACAGAATACATACAATGTATGTGACTTATACAATTTATATTGGAGTTAAGGCTATATGTTACCTTACACTGTATATCGACCTTATACAGTATACATACAATGTATGTGACTTACACAATTTTTATTAGAGTTAAGGCTATATGTTACCTTAAACAGTATATCTACCTTATACAATATACATCCAATATATGTGACTTATACAATTTGTATTAGAGATACATACAATGTATGTGACTTACACAATTTTTATTAGAGTTAAGGCTATATGTTACCTTAAACAGTATATCTACCTTATACAATATACATCCAATATATGTGACTTATACAATTTGTATTAGAGATACATACAATGTATGTGACTTACACAATTTGGATTAGAGTTAAGGCTATATGTTACCTTACACTGTATATCTACCTTATACAGTATACATACAATGTATTTGACTTACACAATTTGAATTAGAGTTAAGGCTATATGTTACCTTACACTGTATATCGACCTTATACAGTATACATACAATGTATGTGACTTATACAATTTATATTGGAGTTAAGGCTATATGTTACCTTACACTGTATATCGACCTTATACAGTATACATACAATGTATGTGACGTACACAATTTGTATTAGAGTTAAGGCTATATGTGACCTTACACAGTATATCTACCTTATACAGTAAACATACATTGTATGTGACTTATACAATTTATATTAGAGTTAAGGCTATATGTTACCTTAAACAGTATATCTACCTTATACAATATACATACAATATATGTGACTTATACAATTTGTATTAGAGATACATACAATGTATGTGACTTACACAATTTTTATTAGAGTTAAGGCTATATGTTACCTTACACTGTATATCTACCTTATACAGTATACATACAATGTATTTGACTTACACAATTTGAATTAGAGTTAAGGCTATATGTTACCTTACACAGCATATCTACCTTATCCAGTATACATACAATGTATCTTATACAATATACATACAATATATGTGACTTATACAATTTGTATTAGAGATACATACAATGTATGTGACTTACACAATTTGTATTAGAGTTAAGGCCATATGTTACCTTACACAGTATATCTACCTTATCCAATATACATACAGTGTATCTGTGACTTATACAAATTGTATTAGAGTTAAGGCTATATGCTCCCTTACACAGTATATCTACCTTATCCAGTATACATACTACATACAATGTATGTGACCTATACAATTTATATTAGAGTTAAGGTTATATGCTACCTTACACAGTATATATCCCTTATCCAGTATACATACAATGTATGTGACTTATACAATTTATATTGGAGTTAAGGCTATATGTTACCTTACACTGTATATCTACCTTATACAGTATACATACAATGTATGTGACTTACACAATTTGTATTCGAGTTAAGGCTATATGTTACCTTACACAGTATATCTACCTTATACAATATACATACAATATATGTGACTTATACAATTTGTATTAGAGTTAAGGCTATATGTTACCTTACACAGTATATCTACCTTATACAGTATACATACAATGTATGTGACTTATACAATTTGTATTAGAGTTAAGGCTATATGTTACCTTACACAGTATATCTACCTTATACAGTATACATACAATGTATGTGACTTATACAATTTGTATTAGAGTTAAGGCTATATGTTACCTTACACAGTATATCTACCTTATACAGTATACATACAATGTATGTGACTTATACAATTTGTATTAGAGTTAAGGCTATATGTTACCTTACACAGTATATCTACCTTATACAGTATACATACAATGTATGTGACTTATACAATTTGTATTAGAGTTAAGGCTATATGTTACCTTACACAGTATATCTACCTTATACAGTATACATACAATGTATGTGACTTATACAATTTGTATTAGAGTTAAGGCTATATGTTACCTTACACAGTATATCTACCTTATACAGTATACATACAATGTATGTGACTTATACAATTTGTATTAGAGTTAAGGCTATATGTTACCTTACACAGTATATCTACCTTATACAGTATACATACAATGTATGTGACTTATACAATTTGTATTAGAGTTAAGGCTATATGTTACCTTACACAGTATATCTACCTTATACAGTATACATACAATGTATGTGACTTATACAATTTGTATTAGAGTTAAGGCTATATGTTACCTTACACAGTATATCTACCTTATACAGTATACATACAATGTATGTGACTTATACAATTTGTATTAGAGTTAAGGCTATATGTTACCTTACACAGTATATCTACCTTATACAGTATACATACAATGTATGTGACTTATACAATTTGTATTAGAGTTAAGGCTATATGTTACCTTACACAGTATATCTACCTTATACAGTATACATACAATGTATGTGACTTATACAATTTGTATTAGAGTTAAGGCTATATGTTACCTTACACAGTATATCTACCTTATACAGTATACATACAATGTATGTGACTTATACAATTTGTATTAGAGTTAAGGCTATATGTTACCTTACACAGTATATCTACCTTATACAGTATACATACAATGTATGTGACTTATACAATTTGTATTAGAGTTAAGGCTATATGTTACCTTACACAGTATATCTACCTTATACAGTATACATACAATGTATGTGACTTATACAATTTGTATTAGAGTTAAGGCTATATGTTACCTTACACAGTATATCTACCTTATACAGTTTACATACAATGTATGTGACTTATACAATTTGTATTAGAGTTAAGGCTATATGTTACCTTACACAGTATATCTACCTTATACAGTTTACATACAATGTATGTGACTTATACAATTTGTATTAGAGTTAAGGCTATATGTTACCTTACACAGTATATCTACCTTATATTTACATTCTGTGTTGTATTTGCCTATATGTCGTTAGTAAACCAAATTGCAGTATATGAGACTGTATACTACAATTTACAGTGATACGGCCCGTGTAGGAATACAACTGGTACAAGATAAACAAACATGGCCGCCCGATACTTTCGGTATCAATAGGCTTATAGTCGGAAAACATTCTGGGTTCGTTAGCATTTAGCAATATAGGTCATCATAAAAAAATAAAGCAACTTGACAAATTATGACAATATAAATTTATTATAAGATGTGTAGGTATCACAAAATTATTGTAAACGCCATTCTAGATACGAAATTACCAAGTTTGTCAACAACGTCATCACACAGGGGATCTGTTTCGAGATTTTGAGTTATGATAACATCATTGAATAACCACAACACTAAAATTCAGCATTTCTAAAACGTTGTAAAAGTCGAGGGTATCGACAAGGTTTTAAAATGTGTATAAATACTTTTTTAATCTGACCGATTAGACATGGAATCTATCTCAAACGAAATGTCCTTGGAATCATTATCACCTGCTGAAAGAACCACTTTAACTAAACGTTTCCGAGTATATATGCTTCTGAAAAAAACGTAATATTCCAGTCGAAGAAAACATAAGCGTTTCCGAGGAAACCAATCAAGTTCGTTCAGCGCCTTATCACTTCAAAAAACATGTAATCTATCAATGCGCGAAAAACAGCTTTAATTTTTAACAAGCAGAAGTTATGCAATTATTATTTTTTCAACATATACTCTCTCATATGAAATAAATAATAAAGTTAAGTTTGTGTTCAAACCATTTTATGTGCGTGTGGTTTTCAATGACACGAGTCACTATATTACTTCTTCTGGAAATGTCGGCTGTTCTGGGATTTGAACTTACTGACGTCACTGATATTATAAGCGGAAAATTCAAACGTATTTTTGCTTCAGTTACTATACAAAACAAACTATATACATACAAATGTAAATATAGCATTGAACTGTTACAAGATGCAGTATACAGTCGATATGAATGCAATTTGGGTGACAGATAAATATTCATGTCGCCCGTTAAATGTATACGTGACTTATATTATTATATTAGCGTTAAGGCTGTATGCTACATTATACAGTTTACACATATAATGTATACGTGACTTTTATAAAAGTTAAGGCTATATTCTACCTTACACATCATCTCTGTCCTTAGTATCACAATCAAGGTTTTATACTACCTTCCACAATATTTCTGTGATTTGTGCTGGAGTTATCGACTTCCGCTATATCTGTGACTTGAGTTCGATACTCCCTTCCATTTAGAATATAATGTAAACAAGGCTGAATAAGACGTGCTACCGTAAAACATAACTGTGATTGAATTGTGTTATGAAAGATCTTTTTAAAAACACTGATTAGCTTTAATTAGTAATTCAGAATTACAATGATTGGTGAATTTAGGTTTGTGTACACTTGTTAACCAATAACATATAATTGATTGAATTAAGATGAAATCACAGGTATCTATATCTAACTTTAGAACTGGGTTATGAGTATGTCCTGTAGATTTAGTTACATGATTTACTATTTGTAAACCATTCCTGTTTTTGTTGTTTGCTGTAAAGTGTATGCTGTTAATCTTTAAATAACCGCTCATTTTTTTCTATACTGTAAATCAAGTAATCTTAACGAGTACTTATTTTCGAGAAAGTACTTAAAACAACTTATATATTTATAACGATTAGCGAGGATTTTTGCTCGCGAAAGAACCACTTTGTGGTGTGTATCCGAGAAACGTTGAATTCGCTACCAATTCTCCTCGCAAAATAACTTGGAAATATAACATACAATTCCTTTTTGAAAACCCTCCATGTAAAAATTTCCTTTTAATGTGAATCAGAAACCTTTCTTACAAAAGTAAATTTATGCTACATCGCTCACAATACCAAGGAATACACACAGTTTGTGTAATACCAAGCACAAGCATGCTTATATGAACAATCTTTATTTTGAATACAGCACTTGTGAATTGCCGGCAAAAGCATGATTACCCGATTAACCTAAATTGAAAACAATATCTGTGTACTTCCGGGATATACCTAACTAAAAAACATACTCACAAGAGTGACCTTACATGCATTATTTGTGTATTTCCGGTATAAATCACAATGACTTCAGATGTGTAATGATTTCCGCTGTAAGCATGAATACAAGTATTTTAAAAACATCGATATCTGTGTAATAATAGAGGCTGATTAGAAAGGGTTATCTTAATTACCGATTTCTACCGAAACACTAGTAATATTGTTATTAATAAAAAGTCATGACCACCTCAGTCTACAAATAAAAACAAACCGTGTCCATTAAAACGAAAAAAACCAGTCAATGTTACCTTCCTTATCCGTTCCTTTCGTTATCGACGGGAACCCCGAACACAAGGCTATTCCCGCCACAATCCATACCAGTAGCTTCGTCGTCATTTTCCTCCCTGTCTTCTCTCCTCTTCTACAATATTAACGTAATGACCCCTTCCACACCCCTTCTTAAGACGTCATTTGAACAAGAAAAGAAAAAAACCCACAAATGCCGGCCAATAAGGAACTTCAGACATGAAACAAATATGTTCACCGCGGTTTATATCGAAAACAAGGCTCACGGCAACGTTTATTCAGGTAAGGGTGTTTAAACAAAAGATTCTCGTTATATGTAACGGTGCCCCAGCGGTCTGGTGCCCCCGGGGGCCAGGATATCGGGGAAATCAGTATGTGCCCATGTACAGAGATATTATCCCAAAAGAACAACGGCCTTATCGAAATTAAACAGTCATCCCTCAGTGGTTTGCGCGGCATCTTCCAGCCGGGGGTCAAACTTAATGACATACAGACGTTATAGGGCCCTGGTGTGTAGATCTAGTACGCTTACATTTATATGTGACGTAAGTATGTTGGACACCTGGGTTTAAATAGGTCATTAACGCGAAGTTTTGAAATGAACCTATTTAGGGTTTCGATATAATTCGACTTTAAGACGACAGAATATTAAACATTTTACGACAAATTATTGATAGGAATTGAACATTTATTACCTGCTGACATAAAATGCTATAAAACAGAAGTTTACATACATGTACATGCATTAATATATTCTGTGAATTGCGTTGTAAACAAATATATATATTCTATACAGCCCACGAACGTATCGTACAAATAAAACCCAGTCTTCAATTCAGTAATTGAGTCAAAATAGTTCTCTGGTCACTGGTGTGTTTTTGTAGGGAATCATAAATCAAAGGGGTTCAACGTACAGCAGGGTACAGAAATTCGGATTAAAGATATACATATATATATGTAAATTGTATTTAATTTTTATATATGTTTCAATGACAAATTTGTCACAGACGTTCCACAAAGAATAACTGTTGTTTATCATGTTTATCTACCTCGAGTCAGCCCATTTCGATTTTTTACATACATATGCATTAATCTGTTTTAAATCAAGGTCCATGGGTTGTTTTCAGAGGCAGTTGCATTTGCCCTTACAGATGCAGGTCCACTGCCGTCTGTTGCTGGTAGCGTACATGACTTTAAGTTACTTACTCTGCCTGATGATACGGCATGTTTTCAATATTTTTCAATCAGAAACTGTTCATCAAACGATTCTCATGCTCAAGCATGGATTCTGTGCTCAAACCAGCTTTCTTGTAACTGGCTTAAATCAAATGACAAGTGTTAACTCTTCATGACTCTCCCAAACTCTTACTTATTGTCACATGAATGTGAAATATAATTGATTTATTACCGGATCAAGAAATTTGGCTTGAGCACAAAATTGAGCATGAGCATGAAAAATCGCCTAAATCATGCCAAACGATCACATAGTGGCACATAAGCATTGAAAACAGTATTCGACTCTAGGTCTCTTTAAATATTTTCCATTCATTGACAAAAAAAAGAGAGGATTTTTTATGGCCTCTTTGTTTTTATCACTTTACAGACAAAACAAGATATAAGGCTGGGACCAATCGCGTCGTTCGACGTCAAATCCAAACGTTCCCAAATGTTTTACTCTTCAAAACAAACCTGACAAGAATGTTATTTTTATGTTCCTATAACTGTCTACGATACGGCCGTGTTGATTTTTTTTATTTTGTTTCTAATTTGTTCGATTAATTTTCAGCGGTTTTTTTTAAGCTGGAAAATAACACCAATTCAATTTCTTATGTATCGAAAACAAAAAACAATATTAAAAAATATTTCAAACTTTTAATAATTTTGGATGATAAAACGCAGTTTCGTGACACAACGCCTCACAATGTATAATTGTACATAATGTCATGTAAAAATATCAATTCAATTTTCAAATAATCGCGAAAAGTTTTTCAACAGATCTATATATACATATATATATAATAATTGAGATAAAAGCATATCTCGTTCTCAAGAACAAAAACAATAACATAAGCGCAAGCTGCTTTTGAATGAGATTTAAAAACAAGCGCGCTGTGGGCAAGACATGAGGAAACAATGAACATGTTTCTTTTATTTGTCGATCTCTGTTACAAATGAAAGAATTTGAAGTCAAGTGGAACCTGACTAATCCGGAAACCATTGATTGTGATAAAAATAAATATTTTATCTGGATCAATCAATGTCAGGATAAATGTCACTCAATTAGAATGTAGTCCCTAATTCTCGAAATAGTTGTTTAGACTTCGTTTTTTCGAAGAAATTGGTATATATTTAACATGTGGATTTATTCATTACACCAAAATATTCATAACACATGCTGATATATTTTATAAAAATGTTTTCTCTTGTTTATGTCGAAGACGTAACAGTAAAACCACCGAAAACCTCGAGATAACCGAGTATTCCATATAAATGTAGATAGACGAAACAGTAGTAGTCGATAAAAAAAACATTAAGAAAGTGAGATTCCATTCTAGAAAAACAAAAAAACATTATCTCATGATTTATAAATCCGAAACCAGTATCCCGGCCACTTTGTCAGGAATTAAATTGTCCCCTATCTTCGACGGGCACATTGTAGCTAAACCATACGAACACATATCATGTACAAACAAATGTAACCGAGAATTAACATGCAACTCATTAAACAATTAAATAACTCACTTAGTTTATTATATCATACGATTCAACAGATCATTAAACTTTAAAAAATAAAATATCTTAGTTTTGGGTTTTTTATATTATGTATACTACTTCTATTTCGCATATTGCTATTTTCGAATTTAAGTAAACAATTTTGCAAAGTGTAAAATTCGCACTTTCTAGACTGTGTTTACTCCGTAGTTATCTGAAAAAGGCACGGTCACCAGTTAGGAATGATACATTATAAGTTATTTATAGTGTTTGCACAAACATATGCGCTCTATGAATGGCGACGGTTCAATGTTGCTTTTGCCAATCCGTGTACAGCGGTTAATTCTCTTAATAAATTAATTTACAAAAAATCGACACAAATGTTTGTGAATCATGATCAATAGTTGAATAATTCCAAACTGACAAATCCTACTGCAGACGCGGACACAGCAATGATGTTAAAAACATTCCCCTGAAGACCCCACAATAAACCGACAACAGAAACCACTTGATACCGAGTGGTTTACCAACGGGATTTGATTGTCTGGTGTGCAATCGGGAATAGCCGGCACTTTCCACAGTTTCTCGTTTGCGGAACGTGCCGACGATTCCCGATTATCTGATGTGAAAAGCTGCAAGGGACTTTCGCCGAATCATTTCTTTGCACTTAGTGTTAAAGGGCTTGGGTGGAAGGGACACAACTCTCGTTGACTTGTGTATGGGGTTATAAGTAATACTCCCATAACACTGAATTCCTTACCTACTTAAACTATGAATGAAACTTTAAAATCTTGACTCCAAACGATTTCTCTAACATGTATTTGGTTTAAGTGCTCAAACCATTGCGGACTAACGATAATACACGTATATTCTTTAAAAAGAGCATGCTTACTACGATTTCCTGCAGGACTCGCTTGTCATCTAAAAATACAAATAACTTATCCCAGATAAAACGAAATCGGAATCGACCGGAGTTCCAGTTTTCCCGCTAAGTAATATGATGCCATATAACTGAGGTTTTAACGCAAATGTTTGAGAATTACCGACGGGAAAAGTTTAACAAATGAATCCTCTAAAACAAGTCACTGTGAGCTGCAATAACAAGTGCAAGTACATGGATAATCGTTAGTTGGTTGTTCCGGGACGCGCACAATCAATGTAATTCAATTAATGATAAACCCCCCATGCACTTTGTTTCGGAACAACACTTACAGCTATCGCGGTGAACATTCCTCAGCCATGTGTTCCATGACGGAAACGGATGTCCGGAAGTTGGCGCCACATTTGGAACACGAATAGGCATTGGCACGGTGAATTTCCATATGTTTTGAGAGATGCCATTTGGATATGAACTTCCTGGGGCATAAAGAGCACTTGACCAGTTTCGTTTTTTTCGATTTCTTGTGACTAGATAAATGGTTTTTAAACTCCTTATAAGTCTTACACAAATACATACACAATTCACACTCAAACCAGCTTCCCTGAGCGAAATCGAGTTGGTTCTTGTAGTTTCTGATACTAACTTTGGGTAATGGGGTAGGACTGTGCTGTTCGGCATCTTTTTTTACTCCTTTTACCGAAGATGCGTTTTCTATCTCTTGTTTCTCTGTTGGCACAGACACAGACATGGTAGTTTCCTCAAATAATGCTTGCTCGTCCTCGCTCAAATCGTCGGAGTCCGACTCGGAACTAATTCCAACAACTGGTGATATCGATCGTGGCGACCCAGTCTCCGGCGACTCGGATACCGCACTCAATGTTTCCGTGTCGCTGTATTGTGTATTCCCTGGTTCTGCTGCGCGAATATCAGAAGATTCAGGTCTCTCCACCACTATTGTCGACACATTGCTGCCGGAAGACAATGCACTGATTTTGCTTTGTGCAGTTTCACTAGTAGTTTTGGTCACACTTTGAACCAATGAATTCAGTGAAGACGAAGTGGTCGCGTCACTTGTTGGTCCCTCACTCTTCTGAATCATGACCCTTTTAGGGTATATGAGAGATGTATATCTCGTCTGTACGCCTCTGCTGCTGGGCGGCACTTTGGCAGGTGGAACTTTATAAACGTCTAGGAGTTCTCTAATCTTTTTCTCCACAGCCATTCTTACACCTATACCTTTTCCTTCGCTTGGTTGATGCGAAACTCGTGTGCTGGCGGTCATTGTTCCTAAGGTCGGAAGCTTAACCACTTCCGCATCCGGGTCGTCAGCTATGGTCACTGTCTGCTCCTTCTTCGTCAGCATTTCTTGCAGCTTCTTAGTTATGTCGAACGTGGTGTGTGTGGTCGGTGCGGTGTACTTGATCGGTGAAGCGGTCCTTTGCGGTGGGGTTGACAAGACCATTGTGGCGGGTTTCGTCTGCCCTTCACTTGGTTTAACAGTTGTTGATGGCAGAATGATAAACTTTTTCGTGAAAGACGGAGTGGTGTTGGACGGTGCATTTACTGTTGTATTTGTCAAGGATTTAGTAACGGCAGGAGAATCAATTAAAGGTTGTTTTACTTTACTTGTGTACGTGTGGTCATTGTTATGATCATTTGAGTTAAACAAGTCACCGCTCTCTGGGGATATATTGCTACTTATAATAGACGCCATGTTCGATCCCTTCGAAAGCTGCTGCACAATCGACGATGCCATCTGATTTCCACTTGAAGGTTGTGTTGTTGCAGGTGTATCTGTCGTTTTTGAACTGGAAATGTCCACTGGCGGAATTTCAGAACTCTCGCTTCCTTTCGACAATTCGTCTTTCTTTTTGTCTACTTCAATTTTGAACACATATTGACCATTCATGTGCAATGTCATGTGATGCAACAGATACTGTGAATTAGGGAAGCGAGCTTCGCACATTCCACATTTAAAAGGAATTTTTGTAACAGATATCAATTCTGTCTGAAGAATTTTGCTACGAAGCAGCACCTTTCTATTGTCATCTCCTTTAGTATTTTCCCCGCCAGTTGTGATTTTTGTCTGATCAGTGAAAGGTAGTGCAACCATTTCTGATCGCGTTGTTACAGGTGTACCGCTTGTGGCTATCGGCGCACTGCACACAGTGTATTTGTTCGTATAAGCTGGATCTCCATTGAGTTCAGGGATAGTTGTATTTGCCCTTACAGATGCAGGTCCACTGCCGTCTGTTGCTGGTCGCGTACATGACTTTAAGTTACTTACTCTGCCTGATGATACGGCATGTTTCATTTCATGTTTGAACAGGAACTCTCTGGCTATGAAGGGTTGGCCACATTCACTACACTCCAGGAATACCTGCCTCTCGAGGCTCAGTGCATGCCCGCTCGGGTTTTTGCCTTTTATGTGACCAATTACATGCTTGAGTGTCACTTCAGCTTTTGCTGGAAGAGTCGCCTTGCATTTTCGACAATTTACCATCGGTTCGCCGTTCGCATCTTCGAAATATCGCAAGTCCCCAAGATGTTGAAATGAATGACACATGAATTTTTCGACTTTATAAAACGCTTTCGGGCAATATCTACAGCAATACTGCGCGTGTACACCGTTCAAATGTGATTTCAGTTCCCTGGCTTCTTGAAATGTTTTTGAGCACAACTTGCATTTCAGAGAGGGGCATACAATAGCAGATTTCGCTTGCTTTGCTGGTGTCACATCTGCCTCCAGGTTGGAACAAGTATCACTTAAACTGTTCTCTTCATTCATTTTTCTATCTTCGGAAATAGTTCTCAGTCGTTTCTGCTTACTGGCTTTTTTCTTTGACCTTTTCTTCAAAGCCGGATGAGACTCTTCCTTGCTTTTTTCTTGGTCATTTTTCAATTGCTTAGAGTGGTAATTCCTCACGTGAACAGCCATCGCCTGTTGTTTATTGAAAATTTGAGGACATTGTGCACACTGGTAGGTGTCACTATACACAGGTTGTTTTCGTTGAGAACCATCTTTGTTAGCAGGCTCCACCTTGATTGTCATTTTTGCACCGTACAGTGAAACCTGTGTAACAGTGTGCTTTCCACCAAGGGTTGCTTGTAGTTTTTGTTCACACTGTCGTTCCTTCTTATGTTTCCACTGAATGTGATTTGCGAGTTTCTGAGTCATGTCAAATTTCTTGTTACAAAATCTGCACCTGTACATCCGCTGCCCATCTTTTTCAACAACAACATTCTTGCTCCTCGAATGCCTTGGTTTGCATAATGGTTGATGTTTAATTTTTCCTCCTTTTTTATTTTTTGTTTCATTTGAAAGTCTCTCTTCTTTTCGATGAATTCTACAATGTCCAGCCAGGTCTTGTGACCTTGTGAAGACCTCATCACATTGTTGACACTTGTAGCTTTTCTGATGGCATCTATCGATGTGAATTTTGAGGCTTTTAAATGTGCCTAATTTTGCTGAACAATATTTGCATTTGTACTGCCCCGTGGCTGTGATATCAAACATATCTTGATAGGTCAAGAGTTCGCCTGCCTCTAATCCCAACTCATCCGTTCCAAGCTCAGGTATGGACTGATTATCCATCTCCAGTGTGCTTGTCTGGCCGAAGTAGTCGTGTTCCTGTATGTAATCATCGTCATCCATTGGCTCTTGTTTTATTGGAGCATTGCCAAACAAATAATTGTCACTGTGGTAGGACTCGACTCTTGGGTACACACTTGGCAATGTCAGCTCAACCTCCATCGGAGCCATTTTATGGTCTTCCACAGGTTTGGTGTTATTCTGATTTCCCTCATCTTGATTGTCTTGGTCTTTCTCTACAGTTCCGGTTGAGTCTTCTTGTTTGGGAAGGCTTTCTCGTGTCGCCGACACATTACTCGAATCTTGTCTGTCAAATTCCTCCTGAGACACGCCGACAACGTCACCAATCACAAACCCAAATGGTGACTCAGTCTCCTCCATAGTCGCAATGTCCTTTTTAGTTTTGGCATCACTTTCCTTTCCCGATTCTTTGTCAAAATTTTCACTTTCGTCAGCAGAACTATCTCCATCTAATGACTCATTTGAATCTCCATTGTTAATATCAACAAATTCATCGACTTTGACAGTCTTTATCCTCGCGATTTTGTTATCATTTATACAATCGTTCCTAGTGTCATTTTCATCCGCATCACTCCATTCTGCATCACCGTCATTATCTTGATCCTCATCATTGCTCATTTTATCATCTTCCTCGCTTCTCACGTCTTCATCACCCACACTCTCCTGTTTACTGACTCCGTCATCAAAACTCACATCACTTAGTTTGTCATTGTCATATTCATCAGTTTCATTACCATCCTCTATATTATTGAATTTTGTGTTATCAGTACTGTTGATGGAAACATCATCATCATTGCCACCAGCATCATTCTGGTCTGCTAAACCTGAGTTGCCTTCCTCGTCTTCTGATAACTGGTCTTTCTCACTTTCATCATTACTAATGTCGCTGAACTGCACGACAATAACATCTTCTGTATCATAAAAGTCATTGTCTTCTTCTTTCTCTTCCTCAGTGTACTCTTTATCACTTTCTTCTTTGACTTCCTCATTACCACCTTCCAAAATATCAACATCATTGTCACTGACATCACTGAAATGTTCGTTCAGCTGTTCCTGAATTGCATCAACACTACCTTTACTAATCATGGATTTATCATCATCAGTATCAGAATCACCTTCCTCTGGTTCATCCAAACTACTTCTGTCGTCACTATTTGCATCACCAGAACCCTCCACTTCCTCATCCGAGTTATTTCGATCCACTTTTTCATTGCCATCAGAATCCCCAGCTTCTTCTTCTTCATCTGAGGTAAAACTAACCTCGTTTTTACCATCATCAGAGTCATTTGACTCTTCTACAGCAGATTTGCTCTTTACGCTATCATTGTCACTATCACTGTTGTCGTTGTCACTTTGATCACTGTTGTCACCGTACTCATCAGTAGCATCTCCATTATCATGTTGTTCATTGCTTGCGAAATTCTTCATATCAAAATTTGAGTAAGACTGGCTTTTCAGACTTTCATCGTTAGCAAAACAGTTTGGAATCTTGTTTTTCTGATCAGCTTTACCAGGGATATCTAAATCCTCATCGTCTTGCATACCAATTTCCCATCCTGGTCGATCATTGATAAGTGACAGAATGTCGAAATCCTGAAAGTCAGTCATCTCTTACCAAGTTACCACAAGGATAAACTGCTATGGAATCATCACCCCAAAGTCAGTCTTGGTTCATCAATTTCACATCTGTAGCAGATTAATTGCTATGGTATCATCACCTGCAAATATAGAATGTATACACATTTTTATTAACCATTGTTCTCATCAGTTGAAAGGCGACGCTTTTATATATATGTCAGTGGTTTTCACTACTGAGAGAAAACTGGGAAGAATTGTTAAATGTTTTGTAGAATAATTACGACATATATGCTATCGATAATAATGTTTATTACATCTACTTATATAAACATAATTCTGTGTGTCATGAAACCAAACAAGTAGAAGAATTACAAAATATATGCTATCGATAATAATGATTCATTACCATCTACTTATATACTTAGACATAATTCTGTGTGTCATGAAACCAAACAAGACTAAATGGGCCTGTATTGCCCACCTTTTACCCATACATAACAGATTGCAAACACATTTCAGATCCATCTTTGACCTTCAAAGGTGGACCAGGTCAAATGAATTTAAACAAATTTCACAGCAAACTATCCTACACTACCAGCTGAATATGATTATATTTCACTTCACATGTGGAACTTTGTTCAAACTTCCAAATCTGAACAAAGTTATTTATAGAAAACTTAATAGATTTTTTACACATTTTACCCTTATTACCAAGAAAGTATGACAAGGTCTTCTTTTAAACAACCTGAAAGCCTTTCATCCCAGCATGTTGCTGGCCAATTATCATTACCATAGACTTCTTGGTTAATCATATGTTGGTCATTATAAGGTTTTGGCATATTTGATTGCTGTGAACTTGAAATACAGCTGTAGGTGTAAACGTTATTTATTCACATATAGACCTATAGCACTCCTAACAGCCCACTGGCCAACATCATGACCCTATATATATAGCTACCACCCTTTGCAATTCAAAAGATTTTTTTTAAACATTTCACCACATTTGACATCTATGAACTTGACAGTTGCTCAAGGTCATTCACTTTAGCAAACTATATCACTTCATACAAACTTGCTACAGGCTGGATCACATGACCATACATGCAAGTGTCTTTAATTGTAGAAAGTGTTAAAACTTTCATTTATACTCTAGACCTTTTAGTTCTTAGGTTATTTAAAAAGACTGCTAATTAAAGCTGACAGTGCAAGCTAAAAAGCTTTCAATTGAGATTTAAAAACAAATCAAGAAAATCTGGTTTTGAGATCTTCCCATAGCCAGTAACTATATATCTTCTGGGTTTTAAGTCAGTGCCAACATTTAGTTTGTCCTTGCTTGGCAACGAGTATGGGTCTCGCTGGGTTTTAAAAGCGCATTACCTGTCATTCAGTTATCATTCTTCAACTGACCGTCTTGCGATTCAATGCATCGAGCACCTTGATCGGCATCCGATATCAAAAATCAAATACACTAACCTGAAGACTTTGAAACACTGCCAAGCTGGTTGTTGCTATAAATGGCATATTCTCAGAAATTGTGTATCCAAAATAAAAGATATATTACTGAAAATACTTCAGTAAATCCAATATATACATGGATCATTGATCTTTCACATGTATAGTTCTTCACCTACACACGAAAACTTTATTATGAACTCTTAGTCTTCCTCGTGTAGATGCTTTACTAGTAAAACACGTGCAAAATGTGACACTCCCAGGTGTGTAGTCAACAATGTGAAATTTGATAATTGAACCATTCTCATGGAAATAATTGGAATTTAGTATTGTTTTCACACAGAATGTTATTACTACTAGTTTGATATCTAAAAGGTATCATTAGCATTAGTGGTATGTTTATTTCTCTCAGGGTCGTTTGGTGTTTTTCTTTTTGGAAGGGATTGTGCATTAGACATTTTAATTGGTCATATTTTACTATTCTTTCCACTTTTTATAGATAAATGATATCTTTGAAGTGTTCCATTTCCATTTTATTCAAATGATCTGGTAAAAAAATGTTGGTTCAAAATCGTGAAAGTGTTCTATATAGTAGATTAGTGTCACCTTGCACATATGTTGAACAAATGATAACCAGTTTGACAGGTAATGCGCTTTTTATACCAAGCGAAACCAATACTCGTTACCAAGCAAATACATTTGAAAATGTTGGCGCTTCCTTAGATACGACAGCTGGAAGAGATTGTCACTGGGGAAGATCTCAAAACCAGAAAAAAACTTTTTTATTTTAAATCTAAAATGATAGATTTTTAACTTGCATCGTCAGCTTTAAGTTTCAACAAATTTGATCCCTGTGACCTTGATTATAAATTAAGTTTAATTGATTAAATTTAAAAACTATTATGACTCATGGACTTTTAGCTTTCAAAAGAAACTGTCTGAGCATTCAGACAAATCTGACCCCTTGAACATAGGTCATGCATCATGTCATCCTTTGTACCACTCCAAGCCAGCGAGATATTGGCCAAATTGTTGACTTTATGACTTTGGGTTATTCAATAGATGTTACTTTTAAAAAGAACTTAATGGATCTGATCCCTATTACTTTGATATTGGTGAAAATCATTTTTGTTTTTTAAGTCATAGCACTTCATAATACCATCAACATTCCTGCTTTTAAACAAAGACCATGATTATTGCTTAATTGAGTCATTGGTTATTTTTTGAAACCATTGTAGCACCCATGCCAGTAAGTTAACTGGTAAAGGGTTCATCAGGAAAATTATAAAGTACATATTTTTCCAAACTTTATCCTGTTTCATTGCAGGAAGCTATAACTATGTTAGCTTACAGGAATAATGATCTACCAAATAATTTGAACTTGACCCACACCGAAGGACACAGATGTGAGATGTGTCTGCAAGCAGTATTGAATAAAATGTATAATGGGCCATACAGGTCCACTGAAACCTAGACTGCATTCATGAGCATCACACCTAAACATTAACACATATCACCCAAAAAATACTTTCTATTTACTCAGGTACACTTGATTTTAAAGATTGACTAAGAGAGATTGAAATTTCCCATGTTTCACTTTTGAATTATTCATTTTATTCAATTTTGTTTCAGTTAATTACACTCATCAAACATCACATAATATGCCATCATTTTCTAAACATTCTTTGACATGCTAATTCAACCTATTCAGGTCAATTAATATTTCAGGTCATATTTTTAATGTCAACCCCTACAAGCTAAAGTGTCAAATCACGGTGATAAGCAGATATCTTAAATTGACACGAGATATTTATTCTTGTTTATTTCAAATGAAACGTTCTGCCATGGTGAAATTTTCCATCTGATATTGTTATTGATCAGAATATTATTGAAAATATATATTTTTCCTGATTTCACCTGAAGCCTTCTTTCTGGTCAAACGGACCTGAAATTTATCTAAATAAATTTTAAATTGAAAATGTATTTGAATCAGTGTCCTGTATTTCAGGTAAAACTTATTTATAATTAGGTCAGGAATTTTTCAGGTCAAGTTTACCTGAGGATGTTTATTTTCCCGAGTGTTACTGTATGACCTTTTAGACATTTTTTAGATTTCACCCAGCAGTTTCTTTGCACACCAAAAAAATAAGAGGAAAATAAGGCAATGTATCGAAAATAAAATGTTGTAATTAGTTTTACCCTCAAGGTCTCATTCCCCTACTCCCATGCATATGGCCACCATCCTACAATAACTATAAATCACAATTGTGAAAATGCTATTTTGATCACTTGAAAAATATAAATCAGTGCACATATTCTGTGTCAATCAAATCTTAAGACTTTTAGGCCAAAAATGATAAGTAATAGAACCCTGAAAAAACTTTTTTTAACCAAATATACTCATCTTACTGTCAACAAGACATTGAACATATTTTCATTTTAACCACACAATTATGGTTAATTAAATATAATACTCACATTATGTAAAGGGGAAACCACTCTGTGGTACAGGTAGTTTTGATGTTGAGCCGGATATTGGAGACCTCATTTGATGATCCTGCAGAACAAGAAAACACCTGCAATATGACATTTACATAAGTGTTTCTTTGGTTTCACACTTGTTCACCCTTGTTAGGTATAGGGAATTATTTTCAACTTTGATACTTTTGATATAATGTTCTAAAGATAACAGCGCTTGTCTGAAAATAATTTTAAAAACATTATATATATAAAGTCTTCTGTCAAATATTAGGGTCAGTAGCTAGGGAACCAGAAACACAATCTATTTCCTAAAAGCCAACATTTTCAGATACATGCATGTATGTATGTAATACATGTAAATAAAGTGCAACTGCAATATATAAACAGTATTTTATAAGGTTAACAAAATGATAAAAAGGACATTTATTTCTTCCTGTCCACATAACTTCAAGATTTTAATTTGTTCAATTCAGCTTTTGAAACCCTGAAGTATATCATAAATGCCACTGTTCATAACCTGATATAATATAAATGTCTTGCCACTATAGTGATTGAGTAGTGTGCACATATTGAATGTCTTAAGGATCCCTGACCGACTGCATTGTAATTTTTCCCATGTACACCACAAAACAACCTCCCTTTAACTTTCGTTTGGTTATAACTGTAGTTAGTTGGGCCAGAACACATCTGTTGACCCCCGTAGGTCCATCAATTGGCTAGGAAGATTAAAGTCAAGAGATTGAATCTCGATCTAGCCACAGTGATTCATATGCAAAACACTAGTTATCATAATTTGTGCATTTCATATTGATTATTTCTCATAAAAGTCTCTTATAAGGTATATGGTTTTCTTTCCAGAAAGGGGCTTATATATATCATCAAAGCTATAGCAATGCCAGAAAAATAAATTTATACATGTACACCTGTAACGTCACAGTACCCAAATCAGGACACTTTTTAGTGAAATATTGATGTATTTTATACCATAGTACCGATCCCAATTTTTTTTGTTCACTTTTCCTAAATATAAATAATCATCTTTTCATTTTGATAAAAGTAGATATTTTCGGCGCATGGTTCTATAAATTGAACCGGAAATATAGTCATGGTTACGTAATCGCGAAACAGGTGTAGCTGTACATGTACCCAAACCGAGACACGTCCCTTCCAGTTTTGGCTTATACTTGGAGATGAAAAAAGTATTTAGCAGAACAGGACATATCTCTGGAATTTTTATTTTAAGAGTCAATGGTCTTTCTGAATGAATTTCTTTTCAAACTACCATTAGTTGTGAAATTTTATAATGGGATTGTGAAAAATTACATACAAAAATTGAAAATCAAAACCGTCACATGCATGGCGCATCAATTAATTAAGAACGTTACATTTTCGTCATTATTTACAAACTAAAACTGTGATTGTAACCATAAGTGGCAGTAAATAAAGTTCATATCATGTTTTATTGGTATAGCATCTTTAAATCAATATTTTCAATTTCAAAATATTTCTTTACACAGCATGCAAATTCTTTGTGACTTTTTGCTTCAAGTGTCCCGATTTGGGTACTGTGGCGTTAGGTACAGTTTTTGGCAGTGGTACGGGGATCCTTAATTATATAATTATAAGCTGAAAATGTTTAACATTTACTAATTACACTTAATGCAAGACCTAATCTGGTTAACTCCCATTGTTTTGTCACCAACTGGTCATCATAATTGCAGTATCATTTCTTTCTTCAAGTACTTCAAAAAAAATTGAATACTTAATTTTGGAGAATAAAATCTAGCTGAAATTTTACAAGCATTTGTGATTATCAATTTAGAGAAACATGGATGTCATCAACGTTTGTCACGTTTACATGAGATATGAAGTTGTTCAATCAAAAATAAAATAATGAAAATAATCAATATTGGACTTGTTTGGTCCCTGTGCCAGGCTGTAGTCTTCCGTGATGCAGAACATTAACGTTCTCTAATTTAAACAAAAGGTCTATCTGAACTATGAGTCTTATCTAATTTTTGCAGTATTCAATAATATGTATTTAAAGAAAATAAATGAATAAGCGTTAAGTTGATCAATTAATTATTCAAGTAAAAGATAGCAGACAGCACTGAATACGAATAGCGATTTCCCCCAAAGCGCCCCTTCTGACCGAGATAATAAAAGTTGACGCAGGCGTATGTGTTGTTTGCTGCTGTTTATCATATCCCCACTTCCGCCTTACAATTCCTAGCTATGCATCGCGTCAAATCGAGGAAAATCCGCTCGGAAGATCAGTTAATCATTAATTTATCCGTAACAATGAAACCTAAACATAAATTTGACAATGCCAATATAAACTTAGCGAAAAATCGGACAGTAACGCACTTGGTATGCGATACGATGACGCGACACAGTGATCGCCTCCATCCATCGAGCTCGACCTCGCGGCGGCGGCCGCGGTCAACATCAGTCGACGATTGTACGTGAACGTAAAATATGGATGCAATAACGCATCGTCCTTACCGTTTATTTGGTATCGGAGCTTCACATCCCGATGTCCTGTCGGCGTCCCCAATGGGATCCACGAACAAATCACTGATTGACTACTGTACGAAACGCATCGCTCCTATCCATTCGATGCATATTTTTGTTTTGCGGCTTATGTGAAGGGGAACAACTCCGATTGGACTGGGTTCGCTTTAGGGAAATCGACCGATCGGTAACAAAACCTCAGATCGGTTCGTAGGTCGTCCTATTCCCTCTCAATACAACGTGGATATGCATACTAAACCGTTTTAGTACTATATCGAATTAAAAAAATCCCGTTTAAATGCCGAATTATTGGATTCACAAAAGCACCACAGGAAACCATCGCAATATGCATAGTACAGTAAGTCCGTGGAAAAACCCTTGACAAGCCATCGGTTTAATTGGCCTGACATTTTGGCTTCTTGCCGATGCGTCATATCGTGTAAGCAAAATACTAATAAGATACTAAAAAGTATCATATTGATGTGATCGCCTGAATGATTGATTTTGATGCACTTTGCTTTTTATTTAGCTGTCGAATTTTGCATTGCTGTCAATATATTATAGATACAACCACGGACTTAGATTATTGTTATCTAATGATATAAGTCCGTGATACAACTAATCTCGTCGGGATGTACATGGGGAAATTTGAAGACTCGATAGAATGTAGGATGATCTGTTGTTAACACCTTGTATATATATTGCTGCAGATTGAAAATCGATCATTTATCTAGGATATAGATATTTAATTTGTGTTGGGGGGAAAAACATAGCTAGACTTCTCGAAATTTTGGACTTATCTCATGCCTATGAATGCTAACTGAAAGCAGTTCAATACTTATATTTTCCATTTTTGGAAACTGTTCACCTCAGATCAATTACAACTATTATAATTCAGCATTTAGTTTCTTAAGGGTCAGTGGTATCCAATGTAACAATTATGACGTCAACAATCGGTCCACGGCATTCATGGCCTAAATGAAAGTAAATTGAATTTGGTAGGGTTATATAGTGCAGAGACATATGAAGTAGTATATACGTCTCTGTATAGTGGCAATGCCATACGATTGTATTATAATGAAATGGCGTGACATTTAATAAATCAATAGGTAAAGATGGCCATGACAACATCGTGCTGGGTTGATCGGCTTTAATCAAGAACATGTTGGCGTGTTTCGACACATTATATATGTGTCGTCATCAGAAATGTCGTCACGGACGTTGGATCTACCGCTCCCCGTATTTACATAAATCAGTTTATTTTTATTTTTCTAGTTATGAAATCTTATAATATCGATATAACACAGGAGACGAGGACTGAACGCAACTCATGTACATATTTTCATTTCTCATAATATAATATAAATCGTATAATAAATAACGTACATACCAGCTAAAACATTCTGGGACAACAANGGGGGGGGGTTGCAAAAACTAATACTAGAGCACAGAGAGTTCATTTTCAATTTTAAAACATGATGCTATATAAATATTGCTCAGTTATAGATGATAATTCTCTTTTTTTTTATACGGAAGTGTCTCGGATGACTGTACTGTATCGCTAACTTCGGTCATGGCCATTTTATATAATTATCACTGAGCGATTTACGAGCGACATATTATTGATACATTAGTTATGGTTGGTTTTGATGACTATAGAAATGACAAATCGAAATATATAGTCTGCATATATTCTTCATTTGAAATTGCTTCGCAGATTGAAAAAGAAAATCCACAAAATAAAGGAAAACAAAAATAAATCTAGAATTTGTCTGACTTTGTAAGGTTTTGTAGATCTATTTATTTTAAATGAGTGATAAATATTTCATCGCAACAATTTATTATATTGTTTATTCACTTGTATGCACATATTTAGTATTCAACTGGAAACGAATGGGGAAATAAATGTACGTAATCGGCTTACGTACGATTCGATCCTGCTTAAAGCCTTTTATAAACATCTCTCTTTCACGTGTCATATATACCATTATAAAGTTTCTAACACAATGAGGTATTATAGATATTATAGATTTCTATTCAGGCACTGTCCCAATGTTTGTTCCAGTGATCAATCTCCCGTGACAATGATTTCTTTATATAATATAACTTTTGTTTGTAACACCACAGCTAGAACTATAATTCCGGTTTCCTGTAGCTATAGTGATACTGTAGAATAACGCGGTTAGCCTATAGGAGTAATCATAAGGCCAGTGTCTTCCAGACCGTAGTATTAACACTTCTTAAAATACTTACGCCTCACTATCTAACCGGCATTGACAGAAAGGTCAAGTCTGTAATTTAATAAATAGTTTAAATATATGCGTACAAATCTAGTGATACTACAAATGACTGAATCGATTGACCCGAATAACATTTCTCGGACTTTAGCAAGACAATATGATATCAGTACTACACCTAGGCCCTGGTGTAGGTCAGAGACGTACATGTATATACTGGCTTTATACGTCTCTGAGTAGGTTGCTTCAGCCTCCTATTTTCTTTGCATTATTCATTTTCCGTTAATCAGTACTTTGAGGGGATTTATTGCAGCGTCAGAGTCAAGTCTGTTTGATATTTATTGGATTGCGCCCCTTTAAATTTCCAGGGGGCGCGAATAAAAGATGTCTGCCTCCTGTGACTTGGTACTGAGGCTGTGTTGATGTCCCCAAAGGCCAGTTTTGTGTAGGTACGTCTGCATCTGAGGTTTTTAAATGAAATTCAGTTATATATACTGAACATATTTAGTATATGGATGTTTTCAGACGATGATCAGAACTCGAAAATTGCAGAACCCTATCTTTTATGAATTGATCTGTTGCCAGTGTTGGGTTGGAGTTGCATGACTTGTCAAAGTTTGATAAAAAAAAAATATAAGGTTCAACAACTTTGAATTTGAATGATCATGACCGGTTTGACACATCTGAGCGTATGTATGATTGTTGTTGTTTAAACGTGTTTGCTGTTGTTTTCTTTGAACCCCCCAAAATATTACCTCCCCGGGCCGAGATTGTTACCACTTCTCCCTTCTCTCCCACACACCAAAAACAGTAGCTGCGATAACGTAGGTTTTGACGACGAGAGATTTTTTTTTTATATTTTGCGCAGAGGAGGCCGGGTATTAATTGAAGTAACACAAAAACAGTGCATGCTTACATTAATGATTTAACAGACATAATTACAAGGATCATGGTAACATTGACATATTTAGACATGACAAGACTATAGCTATAACTAAACTTCACTAATCAGATCAATCTATTAATTAATGAGACAACACCAATATATAAGAGAGCTAGATCGTGCTTGCTGTGGTTGCATTTTACAAATCATGAATTACCCCCTTTACCTGTTTAGGACAGTAGTATTTTATATTGAAGGGATGTGTAGACCTCATATAATGCAATATCAATGGCATTTTGCATATTTTACAATTATTGTGTAGGAATGAAAATAATCATAAGTGAAGAATAGTTGTCAGGAATTGTCTACTTCTTGATTACGCCGCTGCACAATGCCAAACTTTAACATGATAAACTCCTGTGTTCATATTTTCCCAGTGATATAGTAATATAGTAACATTTACAGAGTTCAGAAGCTATACAAGCTTTCCTTCATAATGTAGGTTAGCAAAGTTAATACAAATGTCATTCATTAGTTACCATAAGCATAAGGCTTCTTGCATTGGTTCCTCCAATGCCTTACTCTTAAAAACGAAATGAATTACGTACATCATCAATATCAATTAAGAGATCAGTATTTGTTGAGCTCTATCTGACAATGTCTATTTCCTCTGCAGATGTTGATATCGTCCAGCTCCTAAAATAAAAATGGCATATGGACAGATACCAAGCACTGGCATGGGTAATTTGTGACTTCCATCTGGAACTTTCAACAATAAGAAGGTATTTTTCAAATTGATAATTAGATTTAAGTTTTAAGTATGTGTTGATCATGTTTGAATGGTATTCCATCCTTTTATATAGTGATGTCTTATTTTTTTCTTAACCAATTCTTTAAGCTAAAGTGGAGAAAAATAATTTGTATTGCTGAAGGAGAAGTCTGAATCATTAAGCAGAATCTTAACTGATCCAAACCAACTTTGTATTTTAGCATTGTATCATACATGGGTTGGTGATATGATGGGTCTGTTGACGCTTGGAATAATCTTCCTGAAGAGGTCGTACAAGCAACCACAATCAGAGAATTGGAAATTGGACTGGACAATTTTTGGAATAATTTTGAACTAAAATATAATCACTTGGCTGGACATAAGCGGAAGTAATAAATAATTTGTACATGCAAATTGTTATATTACTGATGGACTTAGAGGCAGTATATGTCTGTGTCCATCAATTATCTTATTAAATGTTATTAAATAGTATATACATGAATTCTATTCTTGTTATTGTAATGCCCTGAGATAAAAATAAGGATATTTCGTTGTTACAGGGTGATGTCTGGTGAGATATTTCAGCGTGAACCAGATCCCATCCCAGAAAATCTGGAGGAGGTTGATGTTATAGGAAGGAATCCCCTCATGTGCTATTTATGCAACGGAAAATATGATGACCCCTGCATATTGGGGTGTTATCATAGTTTCTGCTCAGCATGTCTAGGAGGAAGAGCCATGGATGGGAAAATGTTGTGTCCCTTGTGCAAGTAATTGTCAATGCTTTAATACAGTGTATGATGAGTATCTAATATTGATTAAACTGTAACTTTCAAATATTACACGAGATATAAATTGGAGTCCTAGTTGAAATGTAAAGACACGCAAAAAGCATTTTCTGAATTGAATTTTATGAAGAAATGCTCTCTTAAAAAAAAATTTTTTTAGATGTAAAACAAAATTTTAAGTGGAAACCAAATGGGTTAAAGATTAAGTACATATATATTTCTTTCAGTACAAAATGAAAGGTGTTGCATATTATGTTCTGATTTCCACAGGGAAAGTACAGCCCTCAAAGAAGGTGAAAGCTTACCCTCCAAGGACAAGCTACTCCAGTTCCTTGTCATGTCGTCTAATGAGGAGAGGGAACAGTGTGCTAACTGTGATGAGGTGACTATATGTAGCTACTGTATACCGGGACATATTCGCTGCAGTTTAATTTTCGCCTTTTTGGCCCTTCGTTATGAGGGTGAATTAATCATTACAGAGAATATAAGTAAGCAACGTCATAATACACGTATAGTCATTATATATGAAGAGCGAAATGTGAAGTCAACAGCATATTACACATAGTAATTGAATGTGAATGGTGAAATTAAAACTCGGTGATATTTGTCACTTTTATAGAATAAATTTCACTCAAAAAATGTTATAAGTATCTTTATTTTCAACTGTTCTACCATTTTTGTCTCGCCGCCACAAAGTAGCGGAAGTAAGACTAAGTTGTTGCTTTTCCGGTGACAGCGGCGTCAACATTAAGTTTTAGCGTTTAAGATAGTTTCACTGAAAGTATAAGAGCTACACCAACCAAACTTGCATCATAGATACATCTTAGGTAGTACATGTATATCTCAACGCATGCATCAAATGCTGGATGCAGGATTGAGGCCTACCTTTTATGGTCCATTGACTTCGTCACTATCTCGATCAACATTAAGTTTTTGCGTTTAAGTTTGTTTCTCTGAAACTTTTAAGTGCTAGACTAACCAACCTTGACATGTGCATTGATGGTCAAAGCGGGGCACAGATGAGGCATATCAATCCGAATGGCTTGTTTCTTACATGACTAAAAGGATTTGACCCATGTCAAAGTCAATTTAATCGATGTTTCAGATAATTGGTACACCACTAGTACTACTGCAGTAATTATATTGACTTTATCAGGTTTTCGTTTAAGTTTATATATAAAAAAGATCTTTGATAATTTTGTATTTCTGTGTCCCAAAGTCACTGTTAGTATTGATCGAAAATTGTCAAAAAAGACATAAATAGTGATTTTTCCTTTTTAAGGAAAAAATATGAAATGAATTATGAAAGTGAAATGAAGCTATGAAGTGGCTGCCTATATTTAAAGGGTCAAGCAAATTCACAGTTTACAAAAGAAGAAAAAGCATGAATTCAAAATCAATTTGTGACGCTTATACATATTTTGCGCAAAAAATTGATTTCAAAGTTTACCATTTAACTTAATGCTAAACTATTATTAATTAGAAATCAAACACATGTTTTAAAATTCAGTAACTCTGTAATGCAGGTTTTATATCTTGGTTGTGATTTTTAGCAGGAGGAAGGACAAATGTTTTTCTGCAATACCTGTGCACAGCCTTTGTGTGAACGGTGCCGGGAAGAAACTCATCGTGCCAAGATGTTTACCCGCCATGACATTGTCGTCTTGTCAAAGCGGACTAAAGAGATACACCGGGAATGTTGTAAGTCTTAACTAAACCAATATTTATCAAGCAATATGCCCATGTCAAATACCAGTTCCTTAATTGTCCTGTTATGAATCAACCCACTTCTTTGAGTTAGAGATTATGTATTAGCCTTCTAGGCTTCTGTAATTTTGAATGGATTGATTTCAAACTTCATAGGATGGTGTATTGCTATGAAAGCTCGGACAATTTCGATAATCAAAATTATTCGCTGGTTATTTACAGAGTTATAGCCCCTCTGTAGAATTGCCGAAACAGTTTCTGCTCAATAACTTCAGTACTTTTGAATAAATTCATTTCAAACTTCATAGGAAAGTTTATTTCTATGAAAGCTTGTGATAACCAAAACTATTTACCGGTTATTTACGGGGTATGGCCCTTTGTAGAATTGCCGAAACAGTTTCCTTTCAATAACTTGAGTAATTTTGAATGTATTAATTTCAAACTTGGTAGGAAGGTTCATTGCCATTAAAGCTCGGACAAGCTTGATAATCAAAATTATTTGCCGCTTATTTATGCAGTTATGGCCCTTTGTAGATTTGACGCTTATCTCTCCAAAATTTATGCTCTTAAAGCCCTTTGCGGCAGCTGCTCATTCTACATCTGACGGGCGTATCATGTACCGCTTCGCGGAACTCTTGTTTCATTGTGCATCACTTTTCATAGGGTTTATCTCTTAGAATGTGTTGTCTTCATTTGGCATGTTTTGCATGTGTATGTATATGCCGAGTTTCCCCCACTGAATTCAGCATTTCGGGTCTCACAAGATACAGAAAAAGAGCTTTTATTTGAGGCATATCTAATATGACCCATCACCTACAATTACTAAATTTTGTATGTGAGAACTTTTTGGGATTGCACAGTGTCACATTGTAAAATTGGGTCTCTGCCTCACCTATACAGAGTAATGTCCCCTTGTTTATTTTTGAAACCAAAGTTTGTCTGGTTGTTGGGAACTATGTTTTGTTCACTTTTTCCTGCTAGGTATAGATTAAGTTCAAATGTGGTAAGTTTAAAGTAAATAATATATGTGTATTAGGCAGCTTCTCTATTACTAAAAATATCTGTTTTGATTTTCAGCACTTCACAATGAGCCATTTATCCTGTTTTCTATAGAAAAGAAAATGATGCTGTGTATAAACTGCTTTAGAGATATGAAAATGTAAGTATCAAACTGAATACATCTAGCATAGATTTAGTGAATCTACTCTATGTATATAGATATAGGAATACTAGAATAGATTCTTTTTCTCTTACCCTGTTCTCCCATTGTGTATCATAAACATAATGTAATGCTAACGTTATAGGCTAAATTCAGGGTTGACGTAACGTTGATGGATTGTTGACGTGAAGTCATTGTATTGCTGATGTGAGGTCATATCATTGTTCTGAAGAGGGGAATTCCCCCGTCTAAACCCTAGGGTGAGACGAGGATATCTCACTCCGGTAAAAGTATGGATACACATGTCCAGGCAGGGTAAGAGAAAGAAATGTCCCACCTTAGGATTCAAGATTTGGAGCAAAAGCCAAGATTTGCCGAGGTTTTTGAACCCAAATTACTTACCCAAGGACGGGACATTTATATCCTACATAACATACATATGGTAAAATCAGTTTCTTACATCACTAACCAAACTGTGAAGTCATTTGATTGAAATGTGTATTTGACGCCTTGTGGCAAAATATCATCCGTGTTAACAAATTTATATTATATTCTCTGTACCAATAGAAACAGTGCATCACAGATTGTATATGACAAAGTGATAAATTACTTGAGCTGCAATGTAATACTATGGCCAGCTATGCAAGCAAAGAAAAATATGGATGACTGCCCCACCAGCAGACTGGTCACAGACAAATGCATACAAAAATCGGGTCGTATTGACATTCACCAAAAGGGTGAGAGAAAGAAACAGTTTTAAAAAGTCACGTCTGCACAGTCTGAGCTTGCTGAACTTTAAAATCCCATGCCTTTTGTCAAATGACCAGTCCAAAAACTGTCATGTGTAGCAGTGGTATCTAATCACTGCCTTGTATCCAAGACTCAGATTCCAGGTCCACAGCAATATTGGTACATGTTTGAGACCCTGTATATTTTGATAATCAAAGTCTCTCTGTAAAATTTCTGATGCTACAATCTTTTGTTGTTGTTTCAGAGAGAGTCGGTCATACTGTGTCGACATGGAAACAGCATATCACCAGAGCTGTAAGAAACTTGATCAGAGAATGCAGGTAAAGAGTTATCTTCCTTGATATAATATTGATGAAGTCTAAAGAGAAAAATAATTGCTTGCAACTACATATTTCTTTTGATGTAAAAAAGATTTTCTAATTTACTATTTCATTTTTAAATCCTCAATTGAATAATAAGGTGTTTCTTCAAACACACAAACTAATGCAAGAAATCCGATGGGATTTTCAATATGGTGAAACACCCTGTTCTAATTTCAATTTTGTTCAGAAGTTTTAAAAGAAACAATATGTTTGATGTCACAGGAAAAATCGGTCATGATGTCACATTTAAATCATAATGGGAGAGACATTCACATCATAATGGGAGAGGTTGTGTGCAAATCAATATATAAAACAATAGAAATGCAGAAAATTATAGTTTTCAAACATATTAATTAATTATGTAGTTTTGGAATGAAGGGAGAAAAATAAATATCCCCTCACTTGAGAGTGTAATGGAGATATCTCAAACCCTGAAGGTGATTATTTGGTTGTCTTACCTTTTGCAGAACCTCAAAGCCACTTTGTTCATTGCAATCCAAACGATTGTACCTGCTAGACCAGAGTTGTTCGTTTATAAAATAAGGTTGGACCTAGTAAACAGATACTGCTTTCGAGCGAGCCTTGCAAGGCCAGCATAAACATTTGTAGGTCTGCCAAAGGTTTTACCAAAAAACATTTAAAAAGAGACAAACCAGTTGTTCCACATAAATGAACAAGCCCTAACTATAGATTTGACAATCAAAGGACCACCCCTCAAGTTGGAAATTTCTCTGTCTAGGTACAGGAAGATATTATTTACCAATAATGAGTTGATGTCATGATAAAACCCTAATAAACAAACAAACAATGACTGTAGAATTCCTACTCCATTTTTTTCATGTTTCTGCCTCAGGCTATCAGAGATCTGCAAAATTCTGTACAAGACTCCATCTTGCTACTACGAGCTCTGCTTGAGGAGATCACACAAAATTCTGAATTGGAAAAATCAGCCATCAAGGAACTCTATGACTCCATGCTTAAAGAGATAACGGACAAGAAGGAGACACTGCTGACGGAAGTGGACAGGTGAGAAAAGTGGTCTTATTCAACAGTATAGTTATACATATACACAGTCTTATTGAGTCCACAGATAGTTAAGCATAAAAATGTCTCTGGATAAATTTATTCAATTTACTGATATTGCCATTTGCAGAGAATTTTTTATGTTATAAAGTATTTTAACAATCTACATCGAGGGAGCTGTCCACATGAATTATTAAGAAAAAAGAAAAAAAACATGACCTGGAGGTGTGTTGGTGATACACCAAATAGCCCAAAAAATGAGTGGGGCCGCGTTGGCCAAGTGGTTAAGGCATCTGACATTCTGCAACACAAGCCTACCACCACTGGGTCGCGGGTTAGAGACTCTCATGGGGCAGTCGTCAGGTACCGGCCGTAGGTCGATGGTTTTCTCCGGGAACTCCCGCTTTCCTCCACCACCAAAATGTGGCACGTCCTTAGATGACCATAGCTGTTAATAGGACGTAAAACACAATCAAACCAAACCAATGAAATGAAGAGTGTTTTATATCTTTAGGTTTTACTTTACAGTCATGACTTGTATGACTTAAACACATCAGACTTAAGACATTTGATGAATTATCAGATATTATTGTATTGATCAACAGACAGTACCAGGACAAGCAGAAGTTGTTCACGGAGGAGCTGGCTAGTCTGAGTACACTGTTACCTACTCTCCACACACATCTAGTCACCTCTGCTGCTTTCTCCAGCTCCGCCAACAAGTTTGAGTTCTTAGACTTGGCCTACGTAAGTTTTACTTTCCAACATCTTGCTGATCATATGTTGGACTGTATTTACCTTGCAGGTGTAAGTTTAATTGTAGAACTGGCCATGGAGTTCCTTGACTAAATTTTTGTATGTTTTAATTACTAGATTTCGCCATGTGCACTAACTATATATATATCATTCATTTTTGTTTGGTTTGTAATTTTGTTGATTTCATGGTACTCTTTTTCCATGAATTCATAGGTCCTCAAAGTAATTGCATGTTTGATACAAACCTATCCTTCGTGGAGTGTGTACGAAGCGAACGCTTGGCTAGCGAAGATGATCCTTTGCATGAGTGGGTACTTATTATCTGCTTTTAAATTCATGAACCCACGAAATGTTGTTTTTTGTGAAACCAAGAAATTTGGGCACCCCAAAAACATCTGATTCCACAATAAGTTACACCATTGTAAATATTACAGTCTATTGTGAAATACTCTTAACAACAAATTATTGACATAATTGAAGATGTCATCTAAAGATGATGATAATGATTATATTTATTTATCTGTCAGTGTTCTAGTTCTACACTGAAGTTATGAAAAAACTAAAACAGATTAAAAATGATAGCAGTTATGGAGAAATGTTAATATTGTATTTTAGATTTTAACATAATGATTGTACATGTATTGAAATCTTTTTTAGATCCTGATGGAGCGACTGAAGTCAATTATTCACCTGCAGTATCCCCTCCATCCATCACAAGGCAGCCAGATATATACTGACTTTAAGTCGCAGATAGCCAAGTAAGTTGCTTTCCTGTACACAGTAAAGTACATTACATAATGGAAAAAGTAAACATGTGAAATGATAATAAGGGTTGTAATGTGCACTTGTGAAAAACTCTCATCATTCATCACGCAAGTTGAAATTTAAATGGCATATATTCGAATTCACCGAACATACATCACAATTTAACATATGGCTAGTCATATAGCGTTTAACCAAATAATATTAATAATTTGAGGTTCTTAAATACCGCTTTATCACAACCTGGTTCGAAGATCGTCTCAAAGCGGTTCACAAATTATTATCCGTGGTTATGGGACTTTGCAACCAGCCAATATCTTTCTCAACTCCCTGGGGTAAACTGAAACCCTTCAGTCACAAGCCCGGCGTCCTACCACTAGACTTCCGTTCCACCAAATAATCAATTTACATCTTGACATTTTTAATTAAAATATTTTTGTTTTGCTGCTTTAGGTGCCTGGAGCCGCTACTTTTTCCCCAGAGGATGTCAACTATACTGTCGGCTTCTGCTGCTGGGTCTCTCTCACTGTCTTCGTCCGGCTCAACAGCTCCACGGTCAGTAACGTTCACACAGGCAGGATGTTTTCAGTTCAAAGTCAGTATTTGTATAATTAGTCCACTGTATGACCACTACATTCAGTACTTTTATTAGTCTATGGACCAACAGATATGAAACTTGACATTTCCTCTCGTCAAAATATTTTTATGGTTTACGACGTCATCACTTTTTGTGTTGTCTGTTTTTTAGGTCATACAATATAACCTGAACAAGTTTACCTTTAGGGGAATAGCCAAAATTTAATTATTCGTGTATACCCTGATATTCTATGTGTTATGTTTTCACCTATATTACAATTTCCATTTTCTTCTGCTTTTTGTATCGCCTGCAACATGAGGTGACATATAGGTATTACTTTGTCGGCTGCGTCGGTTATGTCATCCGAAACAAGGTTTCCATGCGATACTTTGAGTTCCCTTGGGTTGATTGAACTCAAACTTGGTACACATACTGCATATCAATATAGTTCAAACAAGTCCGCATTTCAGAAGTATACGTGCATTTTTGGTGGAGTTGTGCCCCTTTTTTCTTCCAAATAAGGGCATTTTGTAGTATTTTTTTTAATTTTGATTAATCAATTCCTTTAAAATTTTGTCGGTAATGCTAGAAGCAATAATGTTCAACACATATTATGGTTTTTTCTGTCGAGTCTCAACTTTTTGCATTTTGGCATATCTGTTTGCGCGATAACTCAAGCCAAAACACTTTTCTTACTTAACGCGCTGAGCAGGCGACACATCCACTCCTGTAGAGTTCTAGTATGATCTAAACTTCACTGTGATAATGATATAAGATTTTTGTCTTTTGACATGTTGATAATACTTCTTTTGAATATTTTGAGAATGTTCATTTGGAGATATAGAAATAAGAATCAGTTAGTCATTAGTAGTTAGTCTCTCATTACACATAACAGTATGTACAAAGTCTATGCTTTCCTTTTCCAAGTGAATGGCTTGAGGTCTGCTATCAGTACATGTAAACTGTCGTCCATAAAATAGAACATAAAAGTCTGACTAACACAGTGCAAAGCATTGCGACGTCATTCCATCCAAGGTTTGTTCCATTTGAAATACCAAAATTAAATTCACACGAGTTTCGATGAATGTTGGTCTATAACTCATTGGCCTTTTCTCTCTCTCTCTCTTTCTCTCATTTATTTCTTCATGCCACCTATAAATGAATTGAAATAAGAGGCCAATGAGCTAACGACCGACAGCCACATTTAGGACTAATGAACTCTAAAGCTGTCATAAGAGAGTACATGAAATCTTTCAAATTTCAATAATATGGTATTTTCAGACATATCCTGTGTTTTCTTTATGAGTGTGTGTACACATCTGTTTTGGTAGGAATAATATATATATAAAAAAAAATATCTTGATAAATTTTTATGTATTTTAACTTTTTTTTTCAGACTAGAGAAGAAGCTGTCTGTTCCCCAAGTGAGGTCTGGGAATCTTTCACAGAATGAAAGGCGACAGGTAGCCCTCAATAAACTCAAACTTACAGAAGGCAAAGGGGTGTTTGCTGACCACTGCCAGGACTTTGATAACTCTCATAAGGTATTTTTTTTATGTGAAATGCCTATTTATTCATGGCTTGCTGAAAAGAAAGTGTTTCATGTATGAAGTTCAACAGAACTTTGCTGTTCAAGCACAAGGCCTATAACCAAGTTCCACGTATAAGGGGCGGAATGGGTAAACATGTTACCTTTCCCCCCTGACTGCCTGCAGTATTAGAGCGCCATTTGTCGAAATGTCTCGATGATTTCTGACAGCTGACTTTAATCACTGATTCAGCACACTGTGGCTTAGTGAGTTGTTTTCAGTGGTTTTGAGTTTAGACTTTCGTCGTTTACACTCTATGCTTGACAAAGGAACCAGATTTTTTTCAAAAGCTCGCAAAAATAAGGTTTCAATTCCCTTTTGTGTTCAAAACAAACTTAGCATTTATAACCGAGTTATTAGATATCCAAACCATCACAATCCATTCGTATTTTGGCAGAAAGTTTCTTCAGAATAAATTTCATTGGCAGGTGTGCACCAGATGGTCACAGTTAGAATTACATTATAGTTAAAATTCAAAGATGTTGTACTCAGTGGTTTTTGACAGGTTTTTGGACATTCCAGATAGGAATTTAGGTCATCGTTTTAATCTTATGACTGTAAATACACCAGCTGAATGTGAATTTGTCACAGACATTACTCACATATGAAGTGTGTGATTGTGGGAAGCTACCAGAGTATGCAAGAGCCCTGAGTAATATAGTTCCGTGTAACCAAACTTAACAGAAATATGAATATTTATGCAACTTTCTTCTTAATTTTTAAACTTGTATCAAATTTGTTCTCTCACAGGGTCTTTCCCAGATGGTGGAACGCATGAAGAGCCACCTACAGGAGCTACAAAGGGACCTTACTCTGCGACGATGCCTCACCAAGCAGACAGTGATGGAGGAGCTTCAGGCTAAGGTGGAGCAGGTGGAACAGCAACTGGAGGATCACAAAACCAAGATGGAGCAGAAACAGCCTGTCCTGGAAAAGGTACAATTTTACTTATGATGAGCCCAATAGTGTATCCATAATCACAAAAAAAAATGAACAAATTGAGTTGGACACAGGTCCAATTTAACAATCAATTTTGTTCATACCTTATCGATTGAATGTTAATTTCTCAATTCACATACCTGCCATGTCACCTGCATTTGTGCAAGTCAAACTGCAATCACTTTCACGACCTGGGGGCCGCGGTGGCCAAGTGTGTCCCAAGTAAGTCGTCTGACATTCTGCTACCACCACTGGGTCGCAGGTTCGAGGCCTACGTGGGGCAGTTGCCAGGTACTGGCCGTAGGTCGGTGGTTTTTCTCCTGGTACTCCTGCTTTCCTCCACGACCAAAACCTGGCACATCCTTAAATGACCATAGCTGTTAATAGGACATAAAACACAAACAAACCAAACCAAACAATTCATGACCTACAATAGAATGTAGTGAATCTCCTGCATTTAAACTGCTATCTCAAATTTGAAAATATTTTCAAAAAATCAATATTCTAAACTTTTAATATTAAAATACTCTCTAAAAAACCACCCATTACTAGCATATTATTTATCAAATTTAGTAGTTTAAATGTAGATCTTGGAATCTCCTGCATTTAAACTGCTATCTCAAATTTGAAAATATTTTAAAGCTTTTAATATTAAAATACTCACTAGAAAAACATCCATTACTAGCATATTATTTATCAAATTTTAGAAGTTTAAATGCCATATATTTACATGACCTGTAGTTAACAAGCTTGACCTGCATTTTGAGCATTTGTGACCTTCATATTGTTATACATTAATTGATTTGTTTATATCCCAGTTGCAATTGTCTGGACTCTGGAATAGAATAGTTGTAGGTGTATTGTCTCCTCCTATGATATTCTACCAGGCATTTTGAACCTCTGCAGTGATGAAACTGACTGATATCTATTTTCATTAAATTTGAAATGAAAGATTTGTTCATGCTTTCAAAATCCACATTATTTTTAACAAGTCAGCTGATCCACTGACTGAAATGTCCGCAAAAAGTAAACTATGCTTATCTGGTATGTCACTACATATTCTTTGTCTATAGATATGAAGTAGTCCCTCAATATATAATAATAATAATAATTTGAGGTTCTAATATACCACTTTATCACAGCCTAGTTCGTAGGTCGTCTCAAAATGGTTCACAAATTAGTATCCGAGGTTATAGGGCCTTTGAAACCAGCCAATATCTTTCTCATCTCCGGCTCCCTGGGGAGCATACAGTCGGAGCTGCCATTTCGGCGCTCACAGCTAGAATTCAACAGTTCTAGCATTTTTACTTCATGCCAGCTATAAAAGAATAAAAAAGAAGCCAACAATGAGCTATTGACCAACAGCCACATTTAGGACCAATGAAATCTAAAGCTGTTATTTAGAGGTATGGTATGGTATGGATATGGTATTAAAGCAAATATTCTTCTTCAGGAAACAAGACATTCATCTAAAATGACTAAATTGTTTAAAACATTGTTTTCCCACATTGTTCTTGTAGTACTGGGAGGAATGTGTCCAAAGAATGACTTGTGAACAGGAGGTCTACCAAGGTACGTACTTATCATTTTTGATTAACATGCAACCAGTAAGGTATTTGTGAAAGATTAAATTCCTGAAAGAGTCTCTTCATGAATAAACGCTTACCGGTAAACTCAACTCTTTTGAAAATAAAATGATTTATGTTTAAATAGTTCTTTATCTGAAAGTCATGTTTTTGAACCCCATGAAGTTAATTCTCGTATTTTAACTCTTGAAAACTCTGTTTATATTGAAGTTATTGTCTAAATGGCTTAATCATTATGAAATTTCACTGTTACAATCAAGGTTAGTGAATTACAAAGGGATTGAACAGCATTTCTAAAATTTTCATGCCATTATGAACTGTGAAAATTAACAAACATATGAGGCATGTTGACAATACAATAGACCTATGACAGAAAAATATGACACCTTTGTGTGCATATGCTTCACTGGTCATTTGTCTGATGAAGGTGACAGTGTAAATACCGTACTAGTCATCGAAACGTCACACAGAACATTTTATTGGTTGTGTAAAAAGAACTCTTCATAATAGAACTCTGTCTGTTTTGTAGCTCAACTGCAGGATGTGATGAGAATTCACCAAGAGACAAGCCACCTCCGGACCATCCTCAACCAGCTGTCCCGTTTTGTAACCTCTATCACGGCTCTGACAGAGAGGCTCGCTCCGAAGTGAGTGTCTACTTAAGTATCCCTGTCCCACTGCATTGTGGTTTGTCATAAATGCAGTAACCTCCCTGTAACTTCCGTTTGGATATAACTGTAGCACAGTTAGGCCAGAACACTTCCATTGACCAAGTAGCTCAATTGGTTAGAGCGATAGTATCACAATCCTAAGTCCAGTTTTTGAATCCCAGTCCAGCCCTGTTTATTTTCCCCCGATCAGCACACTGTTGTTGATTACGTTTTGGTAAAGTCATGTGAGGTATATGTAGGAAAAACAGTTTCCAACACCTAGTTACAGTTTTTGGCAGTGGTCTGAAGTTCTTTTCTGCTGTTTGAGAAAATTTGATTATTGACATATCCACTATAAAAAGGTGTTTATCATGATGTTCAGCTAAAGGTGACCTAGCTATTGGGTTTACTTTTATTAGCTCACCTGGCCCAAAGGGCCAAGTGAGCTTATGGCATGGTCCGACGCCCGGCGGCCGTCCGGCGTCTGGCGTCTGGCCGGCATCAACTTTTTACTTTTAACAACTTCTTCTCAGTAACCAAAAGGCCTAGGGTGATGATATTTGTTCAGTAACATGCTGGGATGAAGGGCTGGCAAGTTTGTTCAAATAAATGCCCTTGCCTTATATTCAAGGTCACAGGGGTTAAATATTTTAAAATCTTTTAAACAACTTCTTCTGAGTAACCAAAAGGCCTAGGGAGATGATATTTGGCCAGCAACATGCTTGGATGAAGGGCTTCCAAGTTTGTTCAAATGAATGACCTTGCCTTATATTCAAGGTCACAGGGGTTAAATATGTTAAAATCTTTTAAACAACTTCTTCTAAATAACCGAGAGGCCTAGAGTGATGATGTTTGGCCAGTAACATGCTGGGATGAAGGGCTGCCAAGTTTGTTCAAATAAATGACCTTCATCAATGTTCAAGGTCACAGGGGTCAAATATGTTTAAAACCATTGAATGACTTCTTCTTAATAAGCAAAAGGCCAAGGGCGATGATATTTGGCCATTAACATGCTGGGATGAAGGACTACCAAGTTCAAACGAATGACCTTGACATATATATTTTAAGGGCACAGGGGTCAAATATGGTTAAAACCATTGAATGACTTCTTCTTAATAAGCAAAAGGCCAAGGGCGATGATATTTGGCCATTAACATGCTGGGATGAAGGACTACCAAGTGAATGACCTTCGCCCATATTCAAAGTCACAGTGGTCAATATATGTTTAAATCTTTAAATGATTTGTTCTGTATAACCAAAAGGTCCAGGGTAATGATATTTTCCCGAAGCATGCTGGGTTGGAAGACTATAAACTCTGTTCAACCTAATATTATAATGTCCTTGTTCGACATTCAAGGTCACAGGTGTCATATATGTTTAAATCTTTTAATAGGTTCTTATGAATGAAACACTGATATTTTGCCTGTAGCTGTATTTTAGTCCACTTTTAAGCTTACAAGTGTGAGATTAATACCAGGTGAGCGATGCAACCCCAATGGGCCTCTTGTATATTTTTTTTATGTACATTTAGAAACTTCATATGATGACTACATACACAGTCACATACAAAATTAATGTTTGCTGTTTGATTGACGAATGTCTGATCCGTTTGTAGATTGGCCACTTCTACGAAGGAAAGTAACCATGACAACCAGATAGCAGCCATCTTTGAACAAATCAATATTATAGAACCTGACTCCCAGCACAGGTGAGTAAAAATGTGGTTAAAATTACCTATGATATATCCTGACATATAATTCAAGGATTAATTAATTTTACTAACTATGATGGAAAGAATACCTGTTTGAGAACTGAAAGTTTACTTGTTTAAGAACTTCAAATACACTGTATGTGTTGGAGAAGAAGGAAAATATTTGAAGTAAACAATATGTAGCGAGTGATGTAATTTTTGTTTAGGCAAGAATTTAGTGAAGGTGTCTCTCAAAATTGTGTTCTACCTGACAGAGCACAACAGGGATTTGATAAGTATTTCACTTCCAATCAGAATTGAATTAGGTCATTAAAGTCTTGGATATCTTAATAGTAGTTATTTATCCTGTAGAAGGCGATATCTGGTGCCATGACAGTTCTTTGCTTGTGTATATTAATCAAATATCATTAACTCATTCACCCTTAAAGACACATTTGAACTCTTCCAATTCAAAGGCTGGAATAGTTCATTATGAAATTCAGGGGTGCATGAATTAATACTGTGTATACTGCGTAATAGTTTCATTGTCCCAATGACTTTGACAAAATAATGTTTAACTGTCTTTAGGGAATCAAACTTAATCATAAATTTCATTTATTTTTTCATGTGTGTCTTGTATAGGGTGGAAGCTTTACGTTCAGCAGAGGAAGAGAGAGAAACCATATCAGCAAACCGTACTAACCCCATGGATGAGGAGCTTATCAAAACAAAGGGACTTTTAAAAGCTCCCTCTGCACGGAGAGATGGGAACCAGCGTAGAGACCTCACCAAAAGAGAATCAAAGGACGCGAAAGGAGAGTCTACTGAGAAGAATCCAGCTCCGTCTCTTAGCAAAGACTCAACTTTAATTGAATATCTTACAGAATTGGAGACAGGTGCTAAAGTTTCCTTGGGAGATGTGTCAAAAGTAGTTGCAATAAATTCAGTGGTAACTGGCCCTCCATGTGAAGATTCTGTCTCTGCTGAAATACCGGTAAATGTTCTAAAAGAAGTTAGTGTGGAGGTAGCACCCAAATCGGAGGTTAAGGGGGAATTTGATTTTTCTAAAGTTCTTGATGAAATTTGTAATCCAGACAAGGAGACAGTGTCAAACACAGAGTCCAAGGAAGATGTTGAGGAGTCTGCCAGTTGTGTGGATACTTCATTGGAGGTTGTTCTGCCTCTGGAGCCAGGGACACCAGCGACTGAATCTAACTCTCCTCATTTAAAGCCTTACTCTAAGGAGGACACAATTCCGTTGGCAGGAAATGATGGCACTAATGGTAGACCACTGTCGCCAAAAATTAATTTATTGACTGATGACGAACCAGCTGTAAATATTTCTGGGGACAAATTAGGTTTAAAACCAAGTTCTTCTTCTAAAGAGGTATTCTGTGATACATTATCCATAACATTTCTACCTGAAGGGCATCACTCTCCAGGAGGTCAAAGCTTCACGTCTCCAACCCCATCTGATTCTTCTATCAGTGGGATTGGATCACCGAATTCAGATACTCAGTTGTGCCTGCCACTATCCACAGGTTTAGATTCTCAACTTTGTGGGCCTGGATCCCCAGTGTCAGATACTCAGATGTGCGGGGCAGGATCCCCAGGGGACATGTCTGAGGTCGAAGGTCAAGAGGATGATATGACTGGAGGCGAGACGCTCAGAGCAAGGATTGAAAGACTTAAAGGTTCGATAGACAATGGTACATCTGTATCTCAATTGTCAAAGTCACCACAGGACAGTGTAGTGCAAGGGCCACTGGCACCGCAGGACAATGTGTCACAAAGGTCAAGGTCACCTAGGAACAAATGTTCCGTATCAAACGGTGTGTCACCAGTGGTAGATGTTGGTAAAGTTTGTGTTTCCTCATGTGTAAGTAATGGGGATGTGTTGCAGAAAGGAGATTCTGTTTCTCGATCAGTAGATGTCACCAAACAAACAGGGCCTTGTGAACCAGATTTGAAGTCTTTGACGCAAGGCAGGACTGTTAGTCAGGCAAGTGGCCGCCGTCGCCGAAGGGTCAAAGCTGATCAGGTGGGCAATCCAGTCAGAACCAGAGATGTAAATCTAGGGTCAGAGCATAATGAACAGGCCTCAGAGGTCAAATGTCAGAAGAAGTAAAAATGCTGAAATATGAAGTTTTCCTTCTTTGTGTAATGCAGAGTTATCTTCTCCTGAGAACAGGTATTGATTGTTACGTCATTGGTTTGTGGGAGAAAATTACGTTGTTTTCTCAAAAATTGATGACGTTACTCTCACAAACAAATGACGTAACAATCAATAACTGTTCTCAAGAGAAGATAACTCTGCAATACGCAAAGACGGAATATAGACATGAAACTGGGGTGGGGATCGCAGGTCGAAGGTCAGGTGTTGATGAACTGTTATTTAGAGAGAGAGAGAGAGATTCATTTTAATCAAAGTATGATGAAACATAAATACAGAATTAATTTCTTCGAATGGCCTTAGAGAAATAAAGTACAGATCATAGGTTTAAAACTTTACCATGACTTAGCTTTACAATGGTAGGTATATGACTTATAAATCAAAGCTACAGTTCAGCAATTTGTTTTTATTTACAAACAGAAATGAACTTGAGTTATTATTAAGTAACGTACATGGTCATAGTTGTCAAAATTAATTAAAGTTCTCCATCAATTTTTCTCTAGAGAATCAAAAGGCCTAGAATTATAATAGTAGGACGGTTGCTTGCTGGAATGGAATGCTACCAAATTTGCAGACAGAGTCAAATTTGTTAAAATCTTTGATATTAGTATGTACATGTCTAAATAGCAAAGATGCATATTGTCATGGCCTATTGCATATTGACAAGGATCTAATGTGCGAAAAACTTAGTGACTTATTGAGATGTCCTTCAATTTTTGGCCAAGAGTAGTAACAGGAAGCCTGCAGTTTAGCTCACTAGGAAATCAATTTGCTTTTTTTCTCCAAATAAATGACTGAAAACTACATGAGTAAAAAAAGTACAATGTTTTCTAACAAAGATCCATAAGATGGAGAATCATTAGTTTTAACCTTTAGTGTTAGCTTGCTTGCTTTTAAGTTTGTTTGAATAAATTTACCTTGAACCACTTTGAAGGTCACAGATGTGAGATTTGTTATTGAACAGCATTAATCAATAACAGTTGAGTGATAAAGGCCCTTTGGACCTCTTGTTGTTTACAGCCATGGAATATTGAACCAACGAAAGATACCGGTAAAAGCTCTTCAGTGATTCTTGCATATTTGATATAAGATCATTATTGTGGTAATATTGTATTATACTGGTAAATTTTCGCCCAGTTAAACTTTTGTCTTCATCCATGAAATCAATTTTCGACCAGTGATATTTTCGCCCTTTGACGTTTAGTATACGTTATGTATATTTTTTCACTCATCTTTAATTTGCTTTACTGATAAATTTGCCGTTAATAAGGAGAGCAAAAAAGACAAAAGTTAAACTGTAACGAAAATTTCCAGGTATACAGTGAATAACTCTACTACATAATATTTTTTTCAATATGGCCAGTTATTTTCAATAAGTTATGAAATTTGGTTGTGTTTAAAATTTAATAGAAATTAAAATCAGGTTTACCGTAGAGTGTATTTTTAAGATAATAATTGTGATGAGTATAAAGCAACATTATCGATTTTAACAATGTTAACATATTATGGGCATTTTTGGATATTTGTTTCACGAATTTGTTCCTTTTACATGTATATGCTTGATATTTCATATTTTCATTATTTTGTTTTAAGACTTAAAATGTTCACAGTTATATCATATTAATATTATACACTTTCTTTTTTTTTCTTTTTTTTCTTTACAAATTACAACACAATTGGCAATTTGGCAGGTCCCAATTTTATTTGATGGTTGTAATTATTATACATGCATTCAGACTGTTATATGGTGATGGTGTATACGGAGTATTATACAAAATATGATTATAAAATAATCTTTACTATGTAACTTGGCATTGATTGTTATACTTACTAGTGTATGTGTACCTGTTCACATCCAAATTAAGATAATTATGCATTTTCTATTTATTCTTGAACAGCTGTCTTCCAGTCCCCGAGTGGCCAAAAGTCAATATTATACATATTAAATGTGATATCTATCCTGAGTATGCTCAGTGCCGGATCAAAATGTTAGCTAAATTGCTATTTTTTGTATTTCAGTATGTGGTATATATTTCATATGACTTGATCTGATCATGAGGATTTATATGAATTGTTGACTTATGAAAGATATTAATAATCGTTTACTTTACATTTGTGTAAATGTGTAATAATTCTGTTCATAAGCACCTATTGTTTATTGGGAAAAAATATACAGCTAATTGTTGATGCTGATACAGGTTGAAGTTGATAACCAATTATTTCATTTCTTAATGAGGTCTATGTCTTTCTATATATGTATGAATTTGTTCCCATTCCTGTAGGTGTCTTATGGTCTATCTATTGTAAAATCACTTTTATTTTCTACATTTTTGCATTTTTGACACATTTTCCTTTTTAATATGATATAAAACAGTTAAAATTTCCTTTAGTTTATGTCTGCAATGAGTTTTGAAGATATGTTTTGAAGATATGTTTTAAAGTGACGCATGTAATAATATATTGAATTATCATGTAATTTGACAGTTAACAAATAAATGTCCAGTAAAAGGATAAAATTCAGATTCAAATGTGTAGGTAAATTCATTAAAATTTACTGGACAATGTGTTTAAGGTGAACATTTATTTGTTTGTGTTTAACGGCCCATCGACAACTGTGGTCATTTAGGGCCATGTTTTTTTTTTTTTTTTATTAAACAAACATGTGAGTAGTGAAGATAAAATAAGATGAAAATGAATACTTTTAAAAGCATTCGCATGATATGTGTAAATGATTAAAATAAAAAAGGGGATAAAATGATAAAAGAGATAATGAATAGATTATATGGAATATGTGATATGTATATATAACGTCAAAGAGGGTAAGTTGGGTTAAAAGACATCAGATTCTATAGAATAGGCTGGTGTCTTTCAAATAGTTAAATAATGCCTTCGAGTTCAAATAATGCCTTTGAGTTCACAGAACTGAAAAGAGATTTTGTATCCGGGACTCGAAAGTAATTATCACTAATGTGTTTAAAATCGGAACATTCTCTTAAAACATGTTCCACTGTAAATGGAGTGTTACATGCGTGACATGTAGGTGGATCTTCTCGTTTCAAAAGGTACGAATGAGTAGGATAAGTGTGCCCAGTGCTGAGCCAAGAGAGGATAACTTCCTCTCTACGATCTTTCCAACTGGGAACACATGTTTCAAGTTTCCGGTTGTACTTCAAAAAGTTTGTTGCTGGTTTTGAGAGAACAGCGTTGCTGCCGCTCATTTTGAATGGCTGTACGATTACCAATAGGTTTAAAATCTGTATATGGTAGCAAGATAAATATGTACTACATATATGTATTTGGCAGGTATGGGTACATGAGGTAAAAAGATCTGCTGTTAGTTGTTAAAATAAAATAACTTTATTTAATATTTTCCTACATTATGGAACAAGTTTAGATAGCGATTCAAGCACTTGATGTTCTAAAATTACAGTAAAGCATTTTTCTGACTTTGAGATGGATCCTGGACCTCTTAACCCTTTCAGCCCTAGGTAACCTCAGTAGACTCTACCATACATGTAGTTGGATGAGTCCTTACCATACATGTATTTGGATGAGTCCATTATGGTCTAGGGGTGAAAGGGTTAATTACAAAGCAGTGAGATAATCCACTGGTGATTTTATGTTATTACTTTTTAGCAACATTAAACGGAATAGTTTTTAAAAGGCTCACCATCCGTTTTTGTATAAATATTGATGAAATAACAGTTTTATCAATAAAATAACCTTTCAGTTTCTGCATACAGTGGAAAAATGATGGAACTGTCCTTGTTATTAATAAAGTTACAGGTATTTATTCATGTTGGCCAGGATTGAGGCTTGCTTTAACTTATTCCAATACTGGATTAAATGCAAACCCAATAGTCCTTGCAATATTTTCATGTCTACATATAACATGTATATGGTATATAAATATTAGTTTACAAAAATACTTTTATGACGAAAATATTTAGTTTTCATTGAAATTTAAAACAATTAAATGTTTGCACGCCAACTGTCTTTCCCCTGCAATATGCCACATTTATATGCGAGCAGAAAGTGCCTCTTTGAAGTATCGCATATTGAAAATATCCTGCCTTTTGCTGTATATTGAGTATGACCCTTCCTCGCTACTAAGTACTGAAGTTTGTCAGGGGCACATATAGCTACAATGTTGTTTCACCTACATTAAATAACTATTCTATACTTACGTATTATGGGATATAAGTTTTCCATTTGTTATGCCTGAAAAACAACACAATAAAGACTACATCTTTTGATCGTTAAGGACTATAAATTGCTTGCAATACTTTCCTTTTTGTCTAAATTGATTAAGAACACTTTGCTGTACATGTATCATCAAAATTCAACTTACATGAAGGTGATAAATAACAAATATGTACTGATGCAGACGTCCAAAAGCTGTATAGCTGTATATAAAAAGTTGTGTAATTTATAGATGACATACAATAATATGATCTGGGTTTTTTTTGCACTTTGAAGGCTGATTTATTCAGATTGTCCAAAAAAAAATGAAAGTGTCACAAATACCTGTGTATATTGGTTTTGTACAATTTTGTTTATGCTATACCTTGATAAAACGCCTTAAATGTTAAAATAAAGACAATTTTACATCGAAATATGACTGTTAATTTCCTTTTTAGCTCACCTGGCCTTATGCCGTACTGTGGCATCCGTCTGTCGTCCGGCCGTCAACTTTTTCTTTTGAACAATTTCTTCTGAAGAACTGGGGGACCTAGAGTCATGATATTTGGCCAGTAGGTACCTTGGATGGAGTGCTATTTAGTTTCCTCATCAAAATGACCTACTTTCAAGGTCACAGGGGTCAAATATGTTAAAAACTTCAAACAACGATATCCTAAGAAGCATTTGGTCTAGAGTCATGATACTTGGGTACTTTATGAAGACCAGCTGTGAATCTTTTTCTTTAATTACAGTAATGAGGTCAAATGTCAACTTTAAGTGCTAGCCGGAGTTAAAGGTCAACTTTGGTTAAAAGCTTTAAAATTAAAATTTCAAACAACAATATCTTAAGAAGCGCGTAAGA